TATGATGTTGTGTCATGAATCATAGTGCTGGAAGTGCTCCTTCATTTCATGAAAAGTTTTAATTTAATGTACATTTGGAGCTGACTAACAATGCATTTTTAGGGGTCAAAACAATTAAATTTAATGTTGCCTGAAATGCATGTTTGATGGAAATAAGATGTTTGAGTAAGCAATGAATCCTTTCTAACTTCATGTCTTTCTTACAGTTGAAATTATTTTCTTGGGTTTTTGCAGTCTGTGAGCCACAGCCTTGGCCTTTTCCTTGTTATTAGTGCCAGTGTTTTACCATTTCTTCAAATAATCAATGTATGACTCTGTGTCAGTAACTCCCATTAGCCAACACATTCCTGCATCACCACTGAATGCATTTTGCCTTTTACAGACATCCTTCCTCATACCTGCCGGCTTCCCTCGCTTGTAAATGCTACCCGTATTCAAGGTCACTGCAAAACCTGCTTATCATTTCTCATCCTGATACATTAGTCCCTCAAGCTGCCTTACATTTTCTCTGGCATTTTAAAAGAAATATTGACTAATTTTCATTTTATATTTCTGTTTACTAAGTAGATTTTGCTATTTTGACATCTGACAATTCCATGACATGGGAGGTGCAATGTATTAACAGTTTTATTGCAAATCCAGAGAGAGGTCTTTAAAGTAGATCTAAGCCCAGATGAATGACTGTGCAAATCACTGGAGAAGGCTGATTTTTGTTGTGACTGTCATTCCAAAATGATTTTTCAGTCTGAATCCATGTCCTGTATAAACTATGGCTATATTTTCCATATTGATTTACAAAGTGCATGTTGTCATTGTAAGTGTATTGATTAGCTTTTAACATTGCTCATGTCACGTATGAATTATTAAACAGCCAATTGATACAAGCATCACCTCAACAGTTTACCTGCTTGGATAGTTATATACTACATTCCATAATGACCACAGTATCAGACAGACCACTGTGAACCGCCTTTTTATGTGTGTATATGATTTGCAGCTTTATATCTAACTGGAGTCCCCAGCCCCGCCAAACCCTGATGTATGACTCCAAACAGCAGCATTCAGGCCATAATTAGAGCACTGTTCTGACTAGAGTTCTTTCTGCCTGGGATAATTGAATCTTCATTACTGAGACTAGAAATATCACCACAATTTGAGCTGAATAAAAGGCCAAACCATTATACCTCTTCAGCATCATGCACTCTCCCCCCTTGAAGCAGCCACCAACTCTGTGAAATAATACCATACGAAATGTGGGTGGTGCACAGGAGCTGCTAGGCAAACTTTAAAACAATACTGCACACACTGAGCTAAGGGTGGTATTTTTAGACCCAGCTGGCCCCCATGTATCGGGAAGGTGATTGATTGGCCGTGATTTGGAGCAATATGATAACAATACCTAGCGTGGGCGCGAGAGGCTTAGGAGCATCTCTTCATATAACAAGGGGCACAGTTACAAATAAAACGATCTGGCCTAACAAACCTACCAGCAGCATTAAAGTGAACTCAGTACTTTAGGGGGAAATGTACTGTCAATTAAAAACATGTTTGTAGAGGTAGGCGCCTTAACCCCTCATCTTTTGTATATAATTATCATATGTATTGGCATTCCACATGACAAATATACCTGTTATTAATACCAACAACAAACATCCTGATTTATATTTTTAAAAGTAATGCTGCATCACACAGAGCCATGCTTTTGAACAACACCTTTCGCCAACAATAGTCTGACATGATTCATTTGAAATGGTAATACCAACAGGGCGTACATTGTGTAGCTAGTATAAAAACACTTTTTTTTTTTTTGTAACCTTTTTATTGCAGCTGCAGCTGCGAGAGTATAATGATGCGTTTTCCCTCCTCTTTAATCCTCTTTCTAGATGTCGAGTTCAGGTTGGATGATGAGTGAGTGTGTGGGTGTCAGACTGCCCTGGACACTCTATGAGGACAGTCATCAGCATACAAACCATGACCATCGCATTTATTTCACAATGTCAGTTCCATTTTTATATTATAAAATGACCACTGTGGCTCAGAGACCAAGTACACAATATATTATTTATTATATTACACATACTGTTAATTTTCAAGTGTTTCTGATGGAAAGGGGAGACATTATTGAGACTATTATTATAAACATCCATTCTGAAGGTGATCGGGACACAGTAGTAATCAGGTTCAAAACAGTGGAATTGCAACTCTAGCTTTTGGCAAATTTGTTGGTGCTATATCTAAATTATTCAGTAGTTTGTAGCCAATTTCTGTTTGAACAGGCTGTGTAAAATTGTTTGTGTTTGTGTTGTGTTGTTTGGGTATTAAAATGTATTGTTTTTGCAGTCTTTCAAAGTGTGCAGCCAGCAGCAAATTGTTTTCCATATCATTCAATGGCACTATTATCAACAAACAAGACACAAACACACAAGACAACCTTTTTACTGTATCAATTTAAAAACAAATAAAGGCATTAATAATACAACTGAAGGAAGTGTCACAACATGCATTGAGGTATGGTAAGTTTCAAATGACATTATTAAGCTTTCTGATTCACCATTTATCCAGGGTTTTAACTGGCACAAACAAAAATAGTTAAATGATGTGTGACCCTTTGTGACTGGACTTAATATTTCCATCAAATGAATACTGACTGATTAAAATGACAGATGCAGGGTTTGCACTGTGAGCCAGCTGAGACAGAAACAGTCTGCACATCTGGACTGACTAAAGCAGGCTTTGAGCTCAGTGGGAGAAAGGACACAGACGGACAGTGTACCTTACTTTTCATCTGTGCATGGGCGTGTTTGGAAGAGATCCATGTTTCTTTCCTGCCTTGATTTAAAAACAAACACAAAAACTAAACACGTGTGAAACTGAGATGAAATGTATACTGATTAAACAAAAAAACATCAGTGTGTCAAATGCTTATACACCTTTCAAAGTTTTGTCTTTAGCCTACAGGTGTATGACATTCGGAAATAAATTTGCAGTGGGACATTGATTTAGATGGATTTTTGACTTTCTAAATAAACTCCAATGCACTGACTTTATCCCAATGTTTCCCAAATATTTGCCTTGTTTTGACATTTCTTCGTTCGATTACAGTTATCTTTAGGCCTGCTGTATATTATAAAAGCTGTTACTTTAAAGAAGCCTTTTCATACACTTTTGCTCAGATTATTTACATTAATTGTATCACCGCGCATGATATTTGAAGTTACAAAGAGACCAGTTAATGTGTCACCGACATTGATTAATTGTGTCCGGAGATTGTCTGGCTTAGCTGATTTATAGATTGACGCGCAAGAACGCATTACGCACAATTCCAGTGCCTGTTTACAGTCTACCACTGTGACAAATATATCAGCAGTTGTATGAAGAAACAACAGTCAAAGAAGCTAATACTGATTTTTAAAGGGAACACCCTGACTAAATGACAGGTGTTTTAGTGGGACAGGGACTTCTTCAGGATGACGCATGAAGAGGAATGATACTGAGGTGAGGTGCTCCGAGTTGAAGTGAAGAGTGATGTGAGGCTCGTGGATGGGCGGATGGTCCGAGGGGACAGCGGTTTGAGGAGAAAGCAGTGAGTCATTTGCTGTGAACATCACACTTGGTGCACAACCTGACTGGGACAGCGTCAGACGGCAGACGCACGTTCTTGAGGCACGAGGAATTACTTTGGTTTTACCAGCAATTTATACTACAAACTATATTTTTCAGTTGGAGGAGTGGATTAGCTACGGTGAAGGCATGTGAAAATCTAATCTAAAGTTGGGTAAGTTCTGCTCTCTGTCGTGTCGCTTAATTTATCTCTGTTTTGGAAAGACAATGGTAAACCAAAAAAGGCGCGTTGAACTTGCATTATGTTTGACATGTTTTTCTAGCAGTTCAAATTTGTTCTGTTTCGCCGGAGTTATCTAAATCATCATCTAAAATATAACTGACGATAATTAGTGGGCTAGTTTGTTAGTTTGCTCACCACAGCCCCCAGAGTCTCCACTGCTCATAACCCTGGGAATACTCGTCATCAGTGTGGCGCTTTAGAATTCACAGCTGCCAAGTAAAGTAGCCGCTTGGTGCACGTTTCATGATGTTGTCACTATATCGACTTCCACTATGTTCTTTTCAAAGACTGTGCGTATCATACACCATAGTATCCCTCAGCATTGAACAGTGAGCTGCCAGCCACACCAACTATGTTTGAGAGATGAATTTGAGAGGCGAAATTGAGGCACGGTTGAGCACAAAGCACTCCGTACTCCATTGATTTTCAGCCATTGTGCCAGAGATATATGGTGCCTTGAGGTTTTGCCAGATGTGCCTTAGGAAAAAAAATAACATGTAGTTGTTTTACACATGTATTTAATTGAATATTTCGTATTTTTTGTGCCCCATGCAGAAAGCAAAACAGTTATCTTTGCCAAACTGAAAGCCCCAGACAAAGGGGCAAGGGAAATACAAGGGAAATATTGTTTTTATTTATTTTTTTCTAAATGGTTTATGTGGTATTATCACATGTCATGCTTTCTGGTCAGACTAATGCACATAGTTTCATTTAGGTGATGTGGTGATGGATTCTTGTGGTAAGACACCCTGTAAATAAAATTAAAACACAATGTTCTTGGAAGCAGTTAATCTCTTATCTGTGGTGACCTGAAAGCCCTAGTTTGGTAATGTTGTGGCACTTACTCAAGGAAAAGTTTACAAAGTACCAGTGTATAGCTCCAAAGAAATGTGCTCACAAATATGATGATGAGCCTGGCCAATGCTATGAATAAAGACATAACAATTATGTGGACCATCCCCTCCTCTGTCCTTTATAAGTAGGTGCTGATTTATGACTCTGGCTGATAATGCCAGCACAGGGGTGCATAGACAGGAGCTTGGCTGTCAGCGAAATAAAAACCTGTGGAGCATGCAAAACAGCTGTACATCCACTATAGTGTGAGGTGGACACTGAAGCGTGGATGAAAAGGTCAGCCACTGGTTAATCGTGAGGAGCACAGGGGGAGGGGGCTGCAGACTTGAGGGGACTACATAATGCCCCAATCTATCTGTTCACATACAAGTCTTAGGCATGTCTGGCCACAGTTTGGTTATTTAAGCCAAAAGGCGGCACAGTGGCTGGCACTCTGGTCTGACTGCGGGCCAGCCTGGGCCTTCCTGTGCAAAGTTTGCTCCCCCTTCCCCTCCATGTCTGAGAGGGTTTCCTCTGGCTGCTTGAGTTTTCCTCTTCTATCCAGTAGGATCCTGACCAAGTCTTGCTCAACATCTGGAGGTGGGTCCTCAGGTGCTGAACCCACTGTTCCTGACAGATTACCCATTTGATGGGTCAAATGCTGTAGACAAATTTGACAAGATTCAGGCTTGAATACAGTTTTAAAAAGTACATAAGTATATAGTAAATTTCAATCAACATTCTTTTCAAGGAATAGCTATGCCTCAGTACAGACATGATTAAATTCAAATGGGGCGATGTGTAGGGCTTTTCTTTTGGACATTTTCCAAGTCAAAGGACACAAGAACATACACAATGAAATTAATCATTTGCAACAGAGGGCTTTTCAGGCTAAGAAACAATTGCCTACAGCTCATACAGTAACCAGACTCTTTGTACAAAGATAACAGGAATCACAGTTTGGAAGTAAAACATATGTTTATCACTGAAGTCACCTATACGAGTGAGTGGGTATTGATATAACTGATGCAGAGAAGGACAAGAATGTCAAGAACAGGGTGCCATCAGTCAGCCTCTGGGCTTTAAACAACCAGAAAAGAGATAATCAGGTGCGAGGAATATCTATACCTTTTTGAACAGATTAGATACAACAGAAGCAGCCATGTTGTTTTGACACAAATTTTACAATATTTATGAGCTAATGTCCCCAATCACACATGTCTGAACTGTGGGAGATACAGGGCTCAGACTACATGCCTTTGTACAGGAAAAGACTGTAATCTAGGATAGCCAGGCATATGTCAAACTTACTCAAACAACTTTTTCAGCTCCGATACCAATATCAGTACTATCTGCCGATATTCGATATGAACTGATACAACTTTAGCAACTGAAAAAGTCCTTTTTTCCCCCAAAAAACCTGGTTAACTTGGTACAAAATGGATCCAATTGTGGCATATAATTCTTATTTATCTTTCAAGTAGCTATTGTCCAAATAATTTCCCATGTGGATCAATAAAGTTTGTCTAAGTCTTCTGAACAGCTTTGAATGAATAAAGATTTAAACATTATGAGACACCGTAAACCTACATAAACCAGTAAACAATCCTTCTATTATGTCAGTTAAAGACTCAAGTAGGATATCAGCTGAACCGATATGGGACTGATACTTGATCCTGCAAATTTTCCTGGATTGGCACTAATACCAGTATCATATTGGTGCATGCCTTGTAACCTGTCCTAAAAAGAAAAATATGTTGTGTCATTCAGTGTCATGCTCTATACCAGACCCTCACTAAATTCAAAGCAAACTTATAAGTCACTTTTAAACAATTACCACAGGACTTAATATCCAGTTGGCCAGCGCTAATAGTGCTTTCTGCTTCCCCTCTCCTCGGCGCTCAGTCGATAAACCCACGGTGAGGCGGTGGTCACATTGATCTTCACAACTGCAGTTAGTCACCCACAATCTTTAATAATAACACAATGCTGTTCAAAGTAAGCCTACACAACAAAAAGAAAAAACAAGAATTGACGTTTTATGTTTTAGCCTTGGTGCAATCATTCTGAGCTCTTCTTTATGTGTTATTTTTGCAGATACTTCCTCCTCCACAAATTGGCCTTACTTTCATCTGGAGTATACCACGGACTGCTGCTCTCCTGCCATCAAGTGATTTTTCTCCTTCTCCTTCTTCTTCTTTTTTTTTTTTTTTTTTCATTGAAAAATGGACTGGCACACTATATTTTGTCAATCCAAAGCTGTGCAAAGCTGCTACTGGATGTGTGGCCTCATCTGCCTTTGGTTTGATAATGTGTCATTGCTCCATCTGCATCTCTAGCAAACACCAGGTAACATTTGAAAGATGGATTACCTGGTTGTGTCACTAAATCTTTTTTTGTCAAATATGAAAGCCCTGCATCCAAGAGTTGTTGTTTTTTTTTCTTTATGCATCGCCCGCACAATGGTTCATTTAGCTGCAGCAGCAACATCATTCAAATTATGTTTTGACAAGAGCGACTTAATGTGATCATTACTTTAATGGCGGGTTTGTCAATGTCCCATTGTTCCTGTATTTCTCCTTGTAGTCTTGAAAACAAATAGGCCTGTTTAACTTAGTGGAGAGTGTGCTTTATGGGAACACAAAGTCCCCTCTGCTGGACAATATGACCCCAGCGCCTCTCACTTCTTCTCACTCCTTCAGCAGCAGCAGCAATAACAGCCATCTTCTTGTCCCTGAGTTTAATGTGGTAAAGGCTGTGGTTTTGGGCTTCGTACTTGGAGGTCTGATCTTGTTTGCAGTTGTGGGAAACATCTTGGTGATCCTGTCAGTGGTGTGCCATAAAAACCTCAGAACAGTTACGCATTACTTTATAGCCAACCTGGCTGTGGCGGACCTGCTCATCAGCTCCATCGTGCTACCTTTCTCTGCTATTTTGGAGATTTTGGACCGCTGGGTATTTGGCCGAGTCTTTTGCAATATTTGGGCAGCTGTGGATGTGCTCTGCTGCACTGCCTCCATCATGAGTCTATGTGTCATCTCAGTGGATCGTTACATTGGAGTGAGTTACCCTTTGAGATACCCAGCAATGATGACAAAGCGCCGGGCACTGCTGGCTGTGTTGCTCCTTTGGGTGCTGTCTGTCATAATATCCATCGGACCTTTATTTGGATGGAAAGAGCCTGCCCCAGAGGATGAAACTATCTGCAAGATCACAGAAGAGCCGGGGTATGCCATCTTCTCAGCTGTGGGCTCCTTCTACCTCCCATTGGCAATCATTCTGGCCATGTACTGTCGAGTGTATGTGGTCGCCCATAGGGAGAGTCAGGGTCTAAGAGAGGGTCAAAAGACAGAGAAGTCTCACTCAGAGCATGTTATACTCCGGATACATCGAGGCAACGCCACAGTGTCTGAAGATGAAGCGCTCAGAAGCAGTAAGCACTTTGCCCTTCGCCTATTGAAGTTTTCCAGAGAGAAGAAAGCGGCAAAAACCCTGGGCATCGTGGTGGGTTGCTTTGTGCTCTGCTGGCTCCCCTTCTTCCTGGTGCTGCCAATTGGTGGGTATACAGTACACGCATTCATGAAAATAGGTTACATATATTACTTATTTACTTATTTACTTATTATTATTTATAATTATAATTAAATAGACAATTGACAATTGACTGATGACCATTGCATGTACAATTATGATAAAAAAGCATGGCAATACAAGAACAATTTGCACACTAAAAACTCTTTTTAAATAGTTTTTAACATTTTTTAAATAGTAAAAGTTATTGACTGTAAATTTTGGGAGGCTATTTGTCTGTCCACTCTATTAACTGTACTTTAGTAATCATAGCACTATTGTACCACAATAATAAAGGTTGGGTTAAAAGTAACACTAGTAGTTGTAGTTGTAGTAGTTGTTGTTGCAGTTGTAGTAATAGCTGTAGTCATAGTAGTTGTTGTAGTAGTAGTTGTAGTAGTAATCAATTGTGGCTTAATTTATTTATTTATTTTTTCTCAGAGCACATCACAATCACAATCCTCGTGAGTCAGGTTTATTAATCAAAACCATTTCACTTAATTCATTTTGCAGATGCATCCATTAATTGACTATCTTTAAGTGGAGCTGAGTTAAATCATTTCATACTGTGGTAATTAAATGTCCTCAGTGACTCTTTACTCCAGCTTTTGTGTGACCTGGTGTGCGCCGTAATAACAGCTCTGAGTCAGACAGGTAGAAATATCCATTAGTGGCGGTCTCTAATAATAGCTGTTATAAATCTTTCTGGTTTCCATTGGCTCTGTTGTGTCCAAACAAAAGAACACAATTTCACGTATTACGTACAAAAGCTTTGGATTGAAGTGTTGATCTTACACCCCCTTTTGTCTAAGATTTACATTGTTGCAATGGCAGTCTAGGAAAGACTAATGGAGCCATCACACAGCTGTCAGACCTGATCCAGTTTCTTTGCATTTTGAGGAACATAGAGTTTGATTGAAACAAGGCTTCTAGCCAAGTGACATGGTTCATTACCATTGCACTATACACTATATACAGAGGTGAGTAGGTGAGTAGTCATTGTAGTAAAGTAGGATTACTGCTGTAGAAGTACCATGTAATAGCGCAAAAAAAAAAAAGTATTTTTAGAAATTACTATTTAATTAAAGGTTAGTGCTATATGTAACATCTTATTTATAATTGGAAGTTAATGTAACTGGAGGAACAAAACATTAAATATTGCATACAATCAGGTCAAAGGACAGACAACCAAACTGTGAAAAATCATAAGTGAAGAAGCAATGCAAGAAAGTAATTTTCTAATTATTTAATACTATCAATATAAAACTTCTATTTCTTGGAGACTTATAATGGTAACCAAAACAGTATTGTTACGCTGTAAAACGAGTAAAACTGTGGTGTTTGAAAACTACGCAAAAGTACAGCCAATCTTAAGTTTAATGGTAGTTGATTACTATGCACCTCTATACAGATCAGTGGAGTTTCTTTATGTTTTTCCACTGAAAGGGCATTTACAGAACTATATCAGTTTGTATCCAGGTAATTGCATGAACTGTACTGTAACTTAACATAAGCTAGTGTTAATGGGGTTGGTATGCGAGGTGAGGAAATCCAAAACCAAGTTCATGCATGATTATTTATAAAGCCCTTTGGGCTTCTGTTTGAGAGCACACTCTCATGTTCTTAAATATAGCTGATACCAGTTTGTGGAGGTCAGTACTGACTAGGAAAGAAGCTTACCATTTCTCCATTACTAATACTGGCACCCGTGCATGTAGGCAATGATATTTTTAGATGAAAACTGTAAAACATTGTTTTGGATATGCAGTTTCCTGTGTGGCCATGTCTGAAACATTGAACATTATTTAAATTATTGTCTACTGATATGTGTTGACAAAACAATAATATTGTTCCCATGTCCTGTTTACATTCTAGCATATGCTACCTGTTTATCAAATTGCCAACACAAATAAGTAATTTCTCACAAATTCATCAACTTCATCTTCATTAAATTCATCTTCTTTTTGGCTCTTTTGTTTAAAATGAACTGGTCCCGTATTCTGCCGTATCGAATATTTGTCTAGTGCATAGCAACATAAACTGAATTGTTTGTAAGAGCTCAATAACATTTTCTCCTTGGTTTAAAATAGATGGTGTATATTTCAGCCACACAAGGGTAACTTGTTAAATTATTTTAATGTAAGAATCTCCCCCAAGTGACAAACGGCTGTGCATATAATGTCGTCATGAAGTCGATTGTCTGCATCTTCATTTAGAAACCCATTCACAACTCCTCAATTAATCTGCACAGTAATGATGAGGTTCTAATTAGAAACTGTCAAGGGGCTGTCTGTGTGGAAGACATTTTGGGTCAATTTAGTATCACCTGGATAAATGGCCAAAGTGTACATGCGGTGTAACATTGCCTTTTTGGTTCTTTTGTGGCTGCATGTTGATTTGTGAGATGTTCATGCCAGGAATAGAGTGGCCAATTGGTGTGCTTTTTACCCAGGATTCAAAACATACTCCTTTGATCATAATTTGAACCAAAGACCCTCTGATCTGAGGGTGGATGCTTACTGTCTCGGCCAACATTATCATTGCTCATTATGAAGAGTCCATAATGATGTTAGTGGAACACTGAAAAGCCCTTTATGGAACCAATTTTTGCTGGTTTAATAGTAATTTTACTTTATTCACAATTAATTTGATCTATACATTTATTATACATTATTATATTTTAATTAAAATGTTTTGATTGAATGGTTGTGATGATTAATCATGCAATGGCTTCAGGGGGGTTTGCCAAATCTCAATTTGAAAACACTGTGCAGATAAACTGGTTTGACCACTGACATCCTGTGTTTCTTGTTAATACAGGCTCCATGTTCCCTGCCTATAGACCCTCAGACACTGTTTTTAAGATCACCTTTTGGCTGGGCTACTTCAACAGCTGCATTAACCCTATCATCTACCCTTGCTCCAACCAGGAGTTCAAAAAAGCTTTCCAGAGCTTACTCGGCTGTTTAAAGGAGACCCCAAGGCTGCATCATCTAACCCAGTGCCAGGGTCCTCAGTGTCGTCCAAACTCACTGGGATTGGATAATAACCGCACCCCATCCCGCCTCAGCCCTTCGTCCTCTCTAGGCCTCTCCAGAACACCGTCCTCCAGGGACAGCAGAGACTGGAAAGTGTTTTCTGGAAGTCCAACAAGTGGAACAGGCCAGACTGAAAAAAAAAGGACAAAAGTGGCCAAATTATGTAGTAAAAGCTTTCACCAAACATGCTGCTGTTTCTTTAATGGTCAGACGGTCCAAAAAGAGACAAACTGTACTAAAAACCCTGTGGTCACAAATCTTCCCACCATCAAAATCCATCAACTCTCTTTGTCTGAGAAAGGGGACCCAGTATAACAAATATAATCTTTTATCTATTAGTCATTACTTTATTTTCAAGGTAGATTTGTCTTGGCTTAAGACTAAGGATAGTTGTGATCATTGTGTATGTGAATGCTTTGAACTGTGACCGGAAACCTCACACTTTCTATTTAAAAAGGGAAAAATACCATGTTCATGATTTATGGCCCTTGAATGCTGCAAAACTACATCAGTCTGAATACATTAACTACATTATGGAGTAGTTTAGAGGTTCATGCATAGTTCAATTATTTATTTGTAATACAAATAAATATTTCTCTATTTATTTCTTATACAAAACAGTTTACATTCTCCAAGGTGTGAGCTATTGGTGTGTCTGTTTTCTCTGCTGTAACCCCATTCCATGAAGTTGTACTGTGGAATATGCCACACTGAATATTTTGTTTACATAACAAATGGTATTTTAGAAACTTGTAACTTTAAATTAACTTTCTAGGTTCAAAATTTATTCAGTGCATTGTAACTGTTAAAAAAAAAAGACTTGACTCTTTTATATTAATATTATGCACTTTTAAGATGTATAAAATGTGGGAATTATTAGTTATTATGTTTTGCATGACGTAAAGTGTATGAGAAGTGCTGGCCATTGTTTCTACCACTACAATAATCATTCAGTAAATCAATTCAATCACAAAACAAATAATTTTTTTTTTTTTAACTCTTGCTTTTATTTATATTTTTCCCCAAATGAGAGCAGTATTACGTCATATTCTTGTACCTTGTGTTAGTGCCAGCTGGCTGCCTTTAATTTACTAATATAAGGTTTACGTGATCTTGTGGTTTTTGACCTCAATCCTGATCAGTCCCAAGCCTCTTAAAATCCCCCAGATTTAGAGATGTCTCATTACAAAAGCTAAGCACAGTCAAATTATGTAAAATACCCATTTTGAAAGACAAAGATTAATTTGGGCTTTTTAGCATCTTTTGTTTTAGTTGTTAGGTTACATGTTATGGCATAAAAAGTATAATGCTCCTTTGTTTTATCATTCTGTAACCACACTAGAGATTGGCCATAAATGTCATTTTCTTTTCAGGGTTTTCTCTGCTGTGAGATCCAGTCAAAGGAGAGCCTTCTGTTCTTGCAAACATTAAAAGGCCAAGAGGACAGGGTCAGTCTGCCAACACTATTGGTTTGGTTTCTGGAGCTCTACTTCTTCTGTCCTACTGGCATGTACTCCCACAGTGGTGGTGAGGGGGAGGCAAGACAGTATCATTAAAGGGCCCATATTACACTATTTTCTGATCTATGTTATAATGTTGTTTCCTCATCACAAACATACCTATAGTTGTGTTTTGTTTTGTTGACTCATGTTTAACACACAAACCCTGCATATTTAAGATGAGTTCTTCTATCAGACTGAAAACACTCTGTTGCACTTTGTGATGTCATGTGTGCTCCACTGTATTTTTAACGGCATGCACCTTCACCATGAAAACTACCACTACATGATATCACAAGATGGAACACAATATGAGCTTTGGAGATGTAGACAGACTAATAATAAAAGTTTACTCAAACATGTGTGAATGAAACAAAGCACAACTCCAGGAATGTTTTTGAGGAGGTAAAACATTATAACATGGCTAAAAACTCACAAGAGTCAGTTTCAAGAGGATGGTGGAACCTGAATTGAAAGCACCTAAATCACTATGTAAATGTCATTGAGAGAAAGTGAAAAAAGGTAAATTACTCTGATCTGTTCAAAATATGGTATATTTTAGGCCAGTTTAATTCAGGCAAGAAGAAAAAATAGTATTGATATAAAAAATGAGGTAGACTCCAGAAATACAATAAATAGTACAATCTGCTTCTACATGAAAAGGGACAATTCATTTTTCCTACCTCTGTATGGAAAAAGTGGTGCATGGGATTATTCACACACAAGCCCCCACTGACAAACAGTAGTGTCATGCTCTATAAAGAAAGCTCATGTTTCAAATACTTTTATATTATAATTAGATCAGTAACCTTGCAGAATCAGTCAGCTTTAGCCCACTGCAGTGTGAGAATGGCCTTGACAAAGAAGTTATTGGATTAATGTAGGTCCCCTCTACAGTGTTCTTCAGTCTTCAGTGTGCTGAGAGGAGTTAAAATGTGTATGGGTTAAAATAAAAATGTAAGTGTATTTTTATTATGCATTCAGATATTTTTAAACTTTTACCCAGAAGTTAACAATGTTAGAGCTTGCTTTCTGTGATTTGGGCTATAAGCTACTATACACTATGCCTGTCTAATGAACACAATACATGTTCATTGTTGGGGGATACCTTAATCACTTCCTTCACGCCTTTGCTTCCTAAAATGCTCTATATTAAGAAAAGGGTGTGCTATAATAGACCTAGATCTGTGCGTCTGCTCCACATGACCGAAAGCCTCGCATATGATGTTACTTTTCACCCTCAGTGCTCTCATGAATAGCAGGACCCCCTTTCCCCCCCTTGTTTAATCAGTGCGCTCGGCTCATCATACAAACTCCTAATTGGACAACTGTCTCGGTGCCAAAGGCGTCGCTCCAACTCATCACAGACTTCAGAGGACTTGTGCACGCTCCATGAAACTGTAGCTCAGTTTGTTTTACCGCTGGGGTTCCTGTGGGAGAAACTTGATGGCGTTTTGATGAATAACGACTCTGTGTCCCCCCCTACTGGCTGCCTAAAGTAAGTCACTTCAGTTAGTCTATACTATGTCATTATTTGGTTATATCTCTTTACAATATTAAGTTGTTTGTTTTAACATGATTGTGAGGGGAAGAAGGGGGAAAAAACACCAACTTAACTAGAAAATGTTTATATATATATATATATAAAATATATGTGAGATGAATATGGTTGGTTTAAGTGTTTTATTCCACTGAAGTTCACATAGATGGGGCTGGTTTGTGGACATAGCGGTTAGTTTCCCTTAAACATCCCTGTTCCCCTACAAAACAATATCCAACAGTATCACACCATCTGGAGGAAAGTAACAACAGTGCATGTCAATATAGGCTATAACCATTGTCATTGTTCACTTCACATTATAGCTTCATATACAAACCCTACACTTGACAAGCAATGACAGATAAAATATTTTTTTTTACATAATAATATGGTGCTTCTGTGAACACTTTGATCACAATTTGTGGTTTGGTGTATGTAGCTAGTAGAGAGGAAATGTATTATGAGATAGAGAAAAGATAAAATTCATTCACAACACAAACACAGAACAATGGACACATCATCAGCACACTGTGGACATACACACCAAAGCTTCTTCAGGTCTCCATTATAGAGGTAACACTTCTTATCAGAGCCTTCATACATACAGTGTGCTATCAATATCTTATACAGCAAATCCGGCAGGCAGGTCAATGAAAACCTTAAAATACAATTATAACTAGTACAAGTGAAAGTTGCTAGCTCATAATTATACAATGTGGAATGGCATGGCAGGACTATGTACTAAAGTGGTTCTTATTCAGTGTGGTTTAGCACCAAGAGCAAAGTGGGTACAAGATAACATTGGATCATGCTTTTGTTGTTTTCGTATAATCTGTAAAGTGAGTTTAGAATGGAGGCTCTTGACAAACAACAAAAGAGAAAAATATTAAATTCACTTTCGAACATTTTCAAAACTATGAATTTTTTCACATAACAAGGCATAGCATTTTAAAAACCCTTTCTTTTCCTTTGAGTGCAGAATGTACATTGCAGTTCACAGGAACAATAGATAAAACTAAATAATCACAAAGAAATAATAACAAAAATAAAGTGAGGAAGTGCCACCAAGACACAAAGGGAAGACCCAGATGAATTGTCTAGCTGCACAGATCATATGTAACGTAACAGAATGCAATGTTCTAATCAACTGAGGGAGCTTTTAGACCACCCGCTCATTCTAATAAAATTAAGGACATGAAAAATCTGCCACAAATGTGATGCTGTTAAAACTGCACAGTGACATGTAAACGTATACAAATTTTAAAAGGAACATAATTTCAGATGTGACACCAAAGTATAAATCTATGTGAAAAGGTAGTTGATACAAATTAGTAGGGTGCAGGGAGGGTCAGAAGTTGTAGCAAAATAATGAATATGGCATGACATCTGCCAAGTGGCCTCTGGGCCAGAATAGCCAGCCTAGCACAATCTTAACCAAGACTAGTGATGTTGGCCTTTCCACCAGGGGGTGCTACAATGCGCTGGGTGTTACGACGGGGTACATTGTCATCAATTTGGGCGCCTGGATGATTAGGGAGAAATTTTATTAAGAGATTAAGTTTATGGGAGATACGACATTATATAGCCATTGGACTCACCGGACAAACTGAAGCCAGATTGGTGGAGGTTGCGTACAGGCTGGTGGGTGAACTGTGGCTGCTGTTCCTGTTTTGTGGGTGACATCTTCACAGATGAAACAGCAGATATTTTGGGAGTTACAGTGACCTCACACACAGGGCCATCATACTGGCCCCTGGGAACGCCCCGCAACTCTGTCAACTAAAGATTAATAGTAACCATAAGATCACACAATTATTAATGGTCAAAGGAAAGAGGCAGTTTACACCCCTACAGAAACTCTTTACCCTGCTGCGGGCTTTTATCCTCTTGTACACCTGATCAGGGAAGGGTTTTCGGCTAATGTAGCGGCCACAGCCCTCAGTTGTGTGAAGCGTTCCATCCTCCAGAACTATTTTGCCTTGGCTGATAACAACCAAAGGAGCTCCACGCACCTCTGCACCTTCAAAGATGTTATACTCCACTGCCTGTCAGGCAGAGAGAGAGTAAAAAAGACTTATTTGTAAAATGATAAAACGCAAATAAATAATAATTTTTACAGTTCTTACCAGGTTGTGAGTCTTGGCTGAAATTATTTTAGTGACATCTGGATCCCAGAGCACAAGGTCTGCATCAGATCCGACAGCAATACGACCCTTACGTGGATAAAGGTTAAATATCTTTGCTGCGTTTGTGCTGGTCACTGCCACAAACTGGTTCTCATCCATTTTTCCAGTTGCCTAATGAGACAAGGAGGTAGGTCATTATGGCCATTACAAGACTTCAAATTTATATCTTAATTTTCATACCACACATTTGTCCCAGATCAGGGACATCCTCTCCTCTGTGCCGTTGGTGCCTTCAGGGATGAGAGTAAAGTTATCTTTTCCTATGGCCCGCTGAGAGGTATGGAAGGTACAATGAGCACTGCCAGTCACTTGCAGGTCCCCACTAGATCAAAGAATATTATACATGCTGAAGACGTCACACATATTCCATCCATGTTAAGATTATTACCTCAAGCACCTACCATGAGAGGAGAGAGTTGAGATAATCAGGGGTGGTGGGATCTGGGCTCAGTGGAGGAGAAGTGACAAAGGCAGCTGCCTTTGCCCAGTTCTTGCTCCAGTAATGGGTACCATCTGTAGCCAAGCTGGCAGATATCGGCTCCCCATAAACCACAGCACCTATGGGGCAGGGGCAGGTGTACAACATCAGACCAAACCCAGACAATAGAAAGACAAAAAATAGATAGTTGTAAACAAGAAGCAGACCCTTTTTTCTCGCCAGGGCAATGACATCAGCAGCACTCTTACTCATCACCTTGGTGATATAGAGAGGACAGTTGGTCTGATTGGCGATAGTGACAGAGCGGTTGACTGCCTCAGCCTCCACCTGCAGATAACAAGAGCCAGAGGTCACACTGTCAGTCCTTCTCACTTCTGACAACAAATCATTTTAAGAGACTTAGGTTTGGAAAAAGGTAAGTCATGTTCAATGGAAGTTTTGACTTCTGTTTTGGGTGTTCTTTTGTTTATTGGGTGGTGGATACAACTGTAATGTTAAGGCAATTTTGATAAATTGAAAACATAAGGATATTTGTACCTCCTCAGGGCGGCTAAGCACATGACCTTCAGGACCAGTGATACCAAGTTCCAAAATACGTTTTTGCTCCTAAATAAAAAATAAACATTTGTAGTAAAATACATGAGAATGATTTAACAAATATTAAGGTTTTATGTTACCTCTGCAATAATGTCTCCATTCTCAGCGTGCACCTGTGCAATGGCTCCTAAGTCTCTGATGACACTGAACACTTCATATATCTAAGGAGAAGAAAAGCATTTTAGTAATGTAAAAGCAGTCAGTAAGAATAAAGTTTTAAAAGCCTGAACAACATGAAATGGTGTTAAGCCCAAACAAATTACCTGGGAATCAGAAAGTTGGAAAACATCCTTATAAGCCAAATAGACGAGGAAAGAGTTGACACCTAAATATATAACAGCCAAAGGTGGAATAAAACAAGAAAAGGGGCAAGCGAAAACAAAGGTCATGGGCATTATGGCAAGGCAGACCCTGTTTAGATACAGAGAAAACTGTGCAGAGGGGCAAAAGCTGTGAGAAGGATTTCAGACAGATTTAAGGGAAAGGCAACATCTGAATTCAGAGGAACAGGATTACTGTGGTGGTACCATGATCCTTCACTAAGGTCTCCATCTCCTCCTGGGTCCCCTTGTTCCAGTCAGTGAGATTCACGTGCAGAGAGTAGTCACAGCAGGACTTGCTGTCAGCCCATTCCCTCCATTGGTTAAAAGCTGACAGCAAACTAGTGCCAGGCTCTGGTACCACATGGTCAACTAGAGAACGTAAAAAATTACCACACTGACACTGCACGCACCATGGAGATATAAGATTGCTACTGAGAGCGTGTATTGTATTTGACATACTGATCATGGTGGTTCCTCCAGCTAAAGCAGCACGAGTGCCCTGATAAAAGTCATCTGCTGAAACCATGCCTCGATCAGGCATCTGAAACCGGGTGTGCACATCTATACCTCCAGGCATCACCATCCTCCCATGAGCCTCAACTGTCTTGACACCTCCAGGGACAATGAGGTTGTCACCAATTTGTCTTGAAAAATAAGAAATCATTGACAATCATGATTAATGCAATAATGTTAAGTAATATTACCATAAAAAGGACAGAACTTACTTGATAACTCCATCTTCCATATAAATATCAGCCAAAAAAGACTGATCATCATTTACTATCTTTGCTCCTTTGATGAGGAGACGATCACTCTGAAATGAATATAGTTTAACAATAACACCACAACACTTCAAAGACAATACAGAATACACTTACTATACCATAAAAATAATGTCACACCACCCATGTTACAGTTTAATAAGCAAGATCAACAGACTATTAAGAGTTTTCACAACATGAATATCTGAGAATGAGTCGACCTATAACAGAAAACTATTAAATTGCAGTATGTGTATTGAGTACTGTGTACAGTTGTCTAGATACAAATGGCTGCTCTGACCACAGTTTTATAGAACAAACTACTATGTGAAAGGACAAAGACTTCCTCTGACCCTTTCATACTTTATTAAAGCTGAATTATACATGCCATTCAGTAATCAACAAACAATTGTACCAAGAGAGAATCACACAGACTAGTGCCATTGTAATGATTTGTGTTGAATTTGTGACTGTAAAATAAGTGGCATTTGTTTAGCACTTTAAAGACAATAAGGGGAAAAAAAAGATTCAAAAAGCATTCACTTTTGCTATGGGTTTTCTCTTGGAAATATTTTGGTAGGACCTGCCCACTGTGACCTACTTTATGGTGGGTACTACATTACTACACAACACTTTTTTTTTAAAGGTTAAACTAAGATTTGTATTATAGTCACAATATGGGAGTAAATTATTTAATTTTGGTAGGCTATTTGCGATATCTTACAAAAAGGCAAGGATGCTGACTGCATTTATGCTAGGCGCATATAGGAGAAAAAAAAAGCAAAAATGTACTGATTTCTAAACAAGTTTCAGCACATAAAAATAGGAAGTAACGGGAGCCCTCGGACCGCATCTGCCTCTTAGTGTGTGACTGAATCAGAGCTGGTGACAGCAGCTCGAAGAATGGATGGCAGCCCATGCTAGCTTTTAGTTTAATCGTAAGAGATTTTGCATGTCAAAATATACTAACAAAACAGCGGATCTTCAAGTACTCACTGTGATTTTAGGGATGTTCTTTTTTCCTTGGTAACCCGACATGTTTAAGGATCCCTCTACACAGCTGTCTTCTTGGCTAATACGAGCTAGCAAGCCAGGGAAACCTCAGAAGCCAATGAAAGGATGAATGGATGCTCTGCTTGGTGGCTGTCGACGCCCTGAGCGCTTTCAGATAATATTGAGATGAAAAAAGTGTACGGAGTAGCACAAGAGCCGTGGCTGTATAGATGAAAGTGGACGTGCAAAAATTATAAGGGAAAATGACCCCAAGACCCAAGATAAACCAGACAGGTACCCAAAAGGAGCCGGGCCACAAAGAGACACCACGCATGCGCAGTACCCCACCCTTTTCAGTAAGACCCAAGCCTTTTGATGTGAAGTGATTTTGACAGGACTTTTTTAATGTGTACAAAATTGTAATAGGTTGATGTCTGGGGTTGACACAACATAAATTAATCCACATATCCATTTATTAACATATATTCAAACAGATAAAGGTTATTTTGGCATTTATTAATTGAGACACAGTTACAACAAGCTTTCTATTTACAAATATATTGCACTGTTCACACAATAGACAACTAAAGCTTATTTAAACTACTTTGTTATACATTTTACACATTGCTTTCCAATTAATGCCTCAAATACAGTGAGCTCAAATTGCATGGTCACTGTCTTTTCATACACATTCATTAAAAAGCATCATTCAGAATCCAGTTCAGCACATGCACACTTGATGCACACTTGATGCCTTGCAGTAACTTATAACTATCTGTAAAATATATTTTACTGCATGGTTTTAAATTATTGCATAACAAAAACTCCTTGTAAGCCTCAAACATTAGCACATGTCATAGCAGTGTTGCAAATGTGGTCATGACAAGGGGCAGATCACAGCTTATTATTGTCACATCTAGGTAGTGTAGTTAAATTATATAATAAAGATTTCAAACAACTAATAAAAGACCACCAATGTGTAGTAAAGAGTAGGTGTTGGTGCCCACGAGAAGATATGTAGGAAAAAAGAAATATAAAGAAGGCTCTTATTAAATTTGGCACCAGACTATGTACAGTATTTTAAACCCACAAATGAAGTCTAATCTCTACACAAAAATTTACAAAATACAAAATAAAACTCATGTATCTAATGTCTTAAGGCAACTAAAAATTCTGGAAATAAGTTTGTTTTTGTACAGCTTTTTGGTTATTTTCATTCAGAGTTAGATACTTAATTTAATATTTTCTGGCTAAAATGACCTGCAAGATTAAATTTGGTTGGAATTACAGTACTGGGTGTGCAAGTATAGAGGAGTGCAACTATGATAGGAAATACACATAACTAGTACATGATGTGATGCATTGTGAAGTCCAACCAGAGACACAATGATGACACAATAAAACAGAGACACAGCTTCACTATAGAAGAGTAATGGACAAACTTGAAGCAGGACATCCAGGCACTACTTAGGGATCTACTCAGTATGTGCTGGTGGGGGCAGTGGCAATTCTTTTCCCAATGTACACCCTATAAAAAACATACATTCACATGGTAAATAATTTCAAACAGGTTTGCGTAGCAAATTGTGTATTGCTGGACATTTGGCCTGTCAAGAAAGATGTGTTTGTTTAGTATCATAAAATAATGTAATTTACAGCTGGAAAATATTAACCAAATAATCACTAAAAACTACAAATTTCAAAATATGATTTAACTCACCCAATGCCAAGAGCAAGAATATGTGAGAGGAGCAAAGAGGGAATGACAACTTTGAGGAACTCAGCGGAGAAAACACCACCTTTCTTCATGACACCACTTTTTCTCATACTGAGAGATACTGAGCGTCTGGGGTGTCTAAAGTGAAACTCTCTAAAAGAACAAAACAAAAATTACAAGGAGATGATTTGTTAGTGAATAGTAAATGAATGAATAGTAAAAATAACTTACTTTGGAGGTATGTTTTCTGGTCTGCTAGACCAATCAGCAACCCAGTCAGCTTCTTTTGTAGGCTGAATGTCTTCATTTTCATCCTTCTCTTGAGCATCTTCTTCAGACTATTTTTTAAATAGATTTTAAAAATTAGCACAATAAGGCAAATGTTACATTTTATCAGAACAATTAACAGAACAGAATAAAGTTAGAGTATAGATTAGGATGGCAGTGGCTCAATAGCATTCACCTACAAACCCCAAAGTTCAGTCCAAGCTTCAAACAGCGCCTAGAATTGCTTTTGTAATCTTGGAAAACTAACACCATTATCATTAGTTAATAACTGCAATTTTACCTGACAATCTGCTGGACTTGACATCTCAACATCAAACATAATTTGACCTTCATCTTGTTCTGGACTTGGTGGCCGGTGAGGACTGTGCAATTTAGAAATAAATATTAAATATATTAATACATAAAATGTGTAGATTTATGAATAACTATACTATAATGTTATGTTACCTTTGACAGGAGGAGTTACTTGGACTTGATTCATGCTGTGCATCAAGAAGTATCTTTTCCATATCTCCATTGTGGATAGACGAGGATGATGGCACATGCTCTAACCCTCCTATAAGAGACTCGTTCTCTAGCACATCTCCCAAACCAGCATTTGCATTTATTTGGTCTGCAGCGGGTGGCATGAGAAGGTTACTTTGAGGACTCCGTGTTCCAGTGTTCCCATTCAGCTCCAACTCTACCCAAGAGCCTTTGCACAAATGTCCACAGAAATGAAAAATTATTCAGAATTAAATCACTGCCGTTAACATAAAAATGCATGTTTTTCAGTCCCCAAAACAGTTGACCTACATTTAATCTAGCTTTTTGAAACTGAATCGACTGTGGGATAGATCCATATGAGAGCACGCGTCTTTGTGCCACTGCCCTACAAACAGCTTTCCCAAGATGAATGGATTATGTAATTTCTATGTAATAAAAGGTTAGCTGAGCCCAACAAGCAAAGCATGCCATACTTATTTATAAACAATGATACTTTGTCACCCTAGAACAAAGAAAAGCAACAACAACAACAAAAAACAAACATATTGTTCTAAATGTCAGGTGGGTATTTCATGGCAAGGATGAGCGAAATTGCACAGGAGCCCATTTCAAGGCTGCAGCCACACGGTGGGTCTTGCATAACCCATGTAAAGACAAAAACCCAAGCACGTCGCTGCTACAGCGCGTAGCCCGTTTAATATCTTACTATTCCAAGACCAACAAGACTATGAACATCGATATCTGAGAACAAAATACAAAGGCTTACGAGAACCTTATTAGGATTCAAAGTCTAGCATCGTAGCAAACACGTGTTTTAACTTCTGTTGGTTAATATAGCATGTTAAGTAACACTGTCTACATTTGAGAGTGTATATTATTGGTTATCGATGAAAGCCAGAAGAAAATACAAGCAATTGCAAGATATTCGCTTTTGTCCCAAACTTGTTTTCATTTTGCTTAAGGTCCACCCAGTGCCTGCTCCAGTTTTTTGATTTGCCAATGTCCCATCAATCAAACATTTCGCCATATTCCATTGGCTGAAATGCATTTACGTCAGTAACGGCAGCATGTCCCCTAGCAGTCGACGAGGAAATTCCAAACCCCAACTTTTACAATAAAAACACAAACAAAACAAAAATCGACATAGATCTTGAGTGCTAATACCGACAGGTCTATTCGGAGCAGAATGAAACACTGTAATACAAGAGCATTACGTACCGTGAAGGCCGGGCTCTTCGTTATTGTTTTGCTGAGCAGCAGCAGTGGACATGTTGACTACCCAGTTCTTGCATTCATCAACATGACACGCAGACAAGCTGCAAAGGGCGCATGCGCCAAGTCTGTCCTAGGTCCAGACGGGACCAAGGCAGGACAGACAGGACAAAAGATTACGCAATTTTACAGCTCACCAACATGGTAAAATACAAAAATGCATTACTTAATTATACACCTGCTGTTAAATGTGCAACACTGTCTACATTTGAGAGTGTACATTATTGGATATATAAGGAAGAAAAAAAATATCACAAAACACACGTTAACCAATCAAGTGTTTATTACTTTCCATAATTTCCATCTACATAGAAGCCCTAGTCCCCAAAACCATCATTTATCACTCGTGATTTGTCACTGGTGAATTAAGAACATGAAACATGATTATCTTTTCTTTCCTTCTTTTTACCCACATTACTACGACATAATTAGGATTCATTACAAAGGATTAAATGTTTTTTTTTTTTTTAAAGATTCTTAACTCAAAACCAATGAGATCAAGAATAGCTAGACCATAACATCCACAATTATTTTTCTTTAGATATCTAGCAGTGAAAGAGACTTCAAAAGTCACTAAATCATTAGAAGTTAAAAACTACCCAAAGGCCTCCTGACAGACAGTTAAAAATAGTACAGTGATAAAAACAAAAATAATTAATTTGATCTGGCACAGCCAAAAATCATTCAACAAACACAATAAATATAATCAGCCGGATGTGTAGGCGTAGCAGGGCTTCATAAGTTAGCCAAATTGTCATTGCACACATTGAAAGGTATACTTTTGTCCTGAGATGTTGTTTACGAAGATTGCACAATTGGGAGCCGGTCTAGGGGCACTACTGAACAGAATCCAGTTTTCATTGTAACTAATTACCATATGTTCTACTAGTAATGTTGAATTTACAAAAGATCTGTGAAGACTTTTAAGTAATTATTGTTTTATCTCTAATAAATCTTTGGAGTAGAGTTTAACAAAATAGGTAAAATAAGAAATATAGTTAGAATATTTGTTTTGTTCGGATATAAACAACAACGTAAAAGTATGTACGTGTATGATGTAAAAGGTAAATCTGTGTGTGGGAACTAGTTTAAGTCCTGAAAAATAAACAAATTATTGGTTGTGGCCACAGCAATAATGTTATCCAGCGGATGCCAGGCTGTGTGTAGGATTTTCTTGGAAAAATCCAAACTGTTTATGCAGCTCTCCTCTGTGTTATGTTTCCCACCTGTGCAAGTTTTCAGGACTGTCTGGGGTTTACAATTTTCTCTGGAAGCCTCAAGAGTCATGTTTCGTCTAAAGCCTCTATCAAACATCCTGAAGTAGTTGTTGTAGGAGCCTGTCATCACCACACTGAAATGACAATATTGCACTATTTTCTGTTGTATTCTCATCAGTTGTGGAATTGTGTTGTTTCATTCACACGTTTAATGCATAAACAATGCATATTTAGTTCCTCTCTCAAATGGAAATCACTCTGTTCCACTTTGTGGTGTCATGTGGTAATATAGGATCTGCTTCACTGTGTTTTTAAACAGCTTCCCTAGAATCATTTGGATGATTTCAGCTCTAGAATTGCAAATCTCTGAAGAAAACTTAAACGGTAGCTGTTAACTTGAAAACTACCACTACTTGACATCACCAGGTGGACAGACAGACTATTAACAAAGGGTTACTAAAATGTGTGAATGAAACCAAACTCATCTGTGGATGTTTTAGGGGAGGCAAGAACATTATAATACGGCTAAAAGCTCACAAGAATCTATTATGTGTAATATAAGACCTTTACATAAAATATATATATTTTAGCAGTCATAACAAAACATCCATGCATTTATTGATATAGAAACATCTCATAGACTTGTGTGCTTTATTTAACATAACTAAAACTGCCTAAATGTTGAACTGAAGTAAAATAAAAATAGCTTTACCGATCATTGTCACTCCAACAGCATTCAAACTTGTCAAAGATGCAATCATTCTCATAGAGCGAACACAGCCTACTCCTGAGATATGCGTTCACCTATCAAAAGGATGCAATGTAGGTATGGGAAATTTATATGAAGGGTATTGACTGACATACCTGATATGTTTCAATTGGCTTTGTGTCCATGTTGATATCCCAGATTTTGACAGACAAATAATCTCGTGTCATCACGTAGCGTCCACTGTGACTAAACTTGACATCAGAAATGGATGATATTATTTCAGAAAAAAATGAGCGTCTGTTTGGATCCTCTGGCTCTTTAAATACTTCAAATCAAAATGCACAATAAGAGATGATATAGAAAGATGCAATCCTAATTTTCCCAATAAATGCCAAGATATGCAATTAATAACTTACATTTGGCATGTTTAGCGCACAGTGCTGCTGCTCTCAGGTCACATAAACGAATTGTGCCTTTACTGCAGCTGTACACTAAAGTGTGACACTGGCTGGGGTGAAACTCTGCTGCAGTTATAACCTCTGTCAAGTCCTCCATATTAGCTGGCTTTATGTCAACAATATCTTTATTTAAAGTTAAAGGTCCTGTAATAGGCAAAAAATTGACTCTTGTGAACTTGTCAAGACATTTTATAATGTTATCTATACCTGGAGTTGTGTTTTGTTTCATTTACATACAATGCTCGGTTCCACCTTGTGATGCCATGTAGTGGTAGTTTTCATATAAACCTTTTTGTTGAAGATGTATGGAGTTTAAAAACACAGTGGAGCACTTCCTGTATCACCACATGACATCACAAGGTGAAACAGAGTGTTTTCTGTTTGAGGGAAGAACTCTTAAATATCCTGTGCCTAAATATGCAGGGTTTGTGTGTTTAACGTGTGAATGAAACAAGACACTACTCCAGGTATGTTTGTGATGAGGAAACGACATTATAGAACAGATCAGAAAGCAGTGTAATATTTACCTTTAAGGTAAATTAAAACATCAGAAGAAAAGCCCAATGCTAGAAGATATGCTGCCATCTACTGTTGATATCAAGAATAAAAATGAATAAAATAAAATGAAGATATACTGGTTGCACTGGTAGCAATGTGTCTGAAAGGAAAGAATTAGTACATACAAATTGTACTACATTGTCAAAATGTACAAGAAACAAACAAAAACCACAAAGGATACTAAAGCACTGATCTGTGATCTCTAGATGCCACAAGTTAATCCGTAGATCATCTGCAGACAAGTAGGTCTCATTGTCGCTATTGACTGAGATCGAGTTAATATGGTATGTATGAGGATTGGCAAACACTCGTCTTAGATTGGCCTCCACCATCAAGTCCATGGGTTTGAAAAATGGCACCTGAGCACAAAATTTTATTTACTGCACTGGTTCAGAAAAGTCTGCACTGAAACACAAAGAACTGGATTTTGTAGTATGTATAGTAAATTGGAATTCCAACCAAGTCACCAGTTTCATAAAATATGGAATTAAATTTATTAACTGAGATTCAGGAGAATGACACCTCAGCCTCCTACTGCTTCTCTCCAGCAAACCACACCTCTTATTACCCAGAAGCCCTATTTATACAACACCATCTGTGTCTGCTCTCATAAACGTCTTTAACATATACTGTTCTTTTGGTATGATCCTTGTTAGTGAAGTGGTATTTACTACAATTACTACAAAAAACTTTTTTTAAAATACCTGTAGTGATGCGATGTTGGTGAAATCTTTATATTGCCCATCTCTCAAATTGTAGCCCTCTGGTCTTTTGTTACGTTCACTTATTTTCCAAAGCTTTATTGTTTTGTCTAAAAAAAAAAAAAAGTATAATAGTATAAGTGTCTATATTCTCAGTTATATATCAATGTAGGGCAGGTTGTTATAATGAAAAAAATTCAACAGTAATCTGATTCCTACAGCAAAATCATTGTGATACAGTAATTCTTAAGTCAGCTCTATGCTCAAACAGAGACACTTTCTTCCCCACCCACCTTCTGAGTGAACAAAAGATAAATAACCAAATCAACTTTCAGAATCCACTGATGGCTTTATCAATCTCCTAAAGGCAATATAAAGATATTAAAGGACTATGTAACTTTTCTGGTGAAGGGTCTGCCACCTTTTCATCTCCATGTAGATGTGGGCAAAAGCAATAACATCTTTATATCTTCATTGAGATGCCGGGGCCGGTGGAAGCCCCTACCCCAGAAAAGTTACATGGACTGTGATAAAAATGTATCAGCTGTAAAAAATAGTGATATGATTCTGTGTTGTCATATTGCTAACCATTAAACTAATACACTAATGTGAATGCAAAATGCAAACTCACCATTGGTAGATAAAACAAAATGTGCAGCATTTTTTTGAGGCAACCATCGAATCGTTGTTTATTTTCTCTTCGATCTCAAGGCTTTTCAGGCTGTCAAACTCGGGCTTATGACTCTGGAAGGTACTGTAAACATTGTACTGTGCACGACATTGTGGCTGATTCTGGCTCTAAAAACAGTCAAAGTAGATGAGTTTGCACAATCTTTTTGGTAATTTACTACATTGTTTATTATTTTATATAAATATACTTTATCTTGCTCAAAGATAACAATACGGCCCCCTCTGTCTCCTGTGGCTAGTAGCTCTCCGGTGTAGTTGAATTCAACAGTAGAAATTATGTCAGCTGTAGGGATGTCATGATTAATGATTAATTCAGGTCACAATAAAGGCAGGTAAACCCTAACAAATAATTACTGTGACAATTTCAGATGCAAAATTATGTAATGAGAACTAAATCTTTACCCCATAAAGGTATAATTCTGATATTCATTGTCAGCTACAAATAAAAACAAATACATTTCTATAATTTATTTAATATTATTTTTTGGTCATCAGAATACGAATGTGAATTAACCGCTTAAACCAATGGTCATGTTGCCTTTTTAGTGAAAACACATGTAATGATATTCTATAGACACTAAAACACTAAATCTGAATTTTTTACATTAATAATTGTCATAACCTACCCCAACTTCATATAACTATAGTTATAAATATTTTAGTATAGTGTATATATTACACTAAAATATCTATAACTTAACCAATCACTAACTATTATTGTAAACTACACTGTAAATTAACAAGATAGTGGGCTACAGTGAAACATGTATGATTTGCATAGGCACAAGGCACACAATAATGTATCTAATGTAACTTTACTACCTTTTTGTAGGCAGGTTTTATTTCGTAGCCACAAATGGCAATGTAAACAATTTCCTTCATTTCATAATGAGGAATGAGCAAGTGTGTACAGAAAGTCTTCCAGACAATAATTTAGAAGGCAGTCAAGGACTACATTTACCTTCAGCAACCTCATCATCTATTGGCCCTTTTACTTGAGAAAAGCACCACTCCATGTCACTACTCTCTTCACCAGCTTCTACAGAAATACAAAAATAAAAAATATACAACACTTTAAAGTACATATAATCAATAACAATTTCTACTGAAGATGGTACCGAGTTAAACTTTAAAAGGTCTCTTTCCACGAATACAGAAAACTGTACGTATTGTTGAACTTTTGTTGCTCATGCTTATCTACAAGACAAGTGCCACTAGCTGCTTGTTAGTTATTAACCTGCTAACTTGCATTTGCTAAGTTAAAAATAGCATCTGCCCAAAATTAAACCTGAATATGATCTTTGGTGTAGACGGTTTGACTCAAATTTACCTGCCATAGTGAGGTAGTTTGGTTCAGCCCTCGTCAGACTAGAACAGTACGTGACCCGCGGTGTGCTCATGGCTGGGCGCTTCGGACCAAAAGGCAGAACAGAAACCAAGCAAGGCGTGTGGATAGAATACCCGGTGTTAAACCGTTCCTGTCTCGGTCCTCGGACCGTGGTCAGAGGACACAGGGGAGAAGCGTCTTCGTCTCCAGGGCCAAAGGGGCGCAGCAGCCGCTCGTCCCTCGGGGTTTAACTCCCGTGTTCGGAACCTCCAGTGAGTGCGTGGGCTCAATAAACAAGTCAGGTCTTCGCTCAAGACTCGTGGTTTTATTTGCCGTACTGCACTAAATAACATGGCACTCGCTCCGGTCGCCTCCTCACCATTCATTTCACACATTGCAAAACTAAAAACAGACAGACACCCATACACTCCGCGGGCCCATTCAAAAGCGCGTGCCTCCGGGGGCGCGCACGCAGTCCCTCACTCACGCTCACGCCACTCACCACTCTAAACATTGCACATAGGAGTACATATATATCTCATAACACCGGGTAAGATTTCGCATATTTAGAAAAAGTCCCCGGATAACACGAACTGCTTTGCACGCAATTCAATTCAGTTCATATCATATCTGCATTATTGTTTTAGACTTCGCACTCCACTTTGACAGCACACTTTGCACACGGACTCTCCCAGAATTTATTAAAAAAAAAAAAAAAAAAAGAATTTATTTCAAAATGGCGCGACGCGGGCAGTGTCCACATGTCTCCGGCGAGGAGCAGGTGGGATGCGCATTGACCACTGTCTGTGCACCGACGCTATACTTTAACTAAGTGTTTTTATTGTCTGCAAGTAGTAAGCTCCCAACCTCCCGTTGGGGAAAAAAAAATGAATTAACGCCAGAACTTGTGAAGTGAAACTAACCCCTGAATGTGTGAAATGAAACTAACCCATGAATACATAACGTTTGTACAACGGAGTACGTGTCACATAAAGAAATGTGTGTGCAGTGCCATATATTTTAATAGCTCCATGCCATACGAAGTAACTGGCAGCAACAATAGCAGGGAGCCAGTGGTTGCACAATTATTTTAGGCTTGCACAGATGTCCATTTTGAAGTGCGCATTTCTCCGCTGTCCTTTAATACAGCGAAACAACGCTTTGGACACTGAAAAAGGAAAAACACAATAGGTCTATTGTAATGAAATTGTTTATTACACAACGTCAAAACTGTAGGCCTATTTTTAATGCCTCTCAAAAATACACAGCTACTATAATGCAGCTAAATCTGCTACTAAAAGCAATAAAAAAGTTTAGTAGTTGAATCTAATTGAAAAAATTACTTCACCTTACATTATAAGTGAAAATCAAGATAGGTAATTGCTGTTGTCAGGACACATACTCAGGAAAGGTATGGATCACACACATCTATTGTGGTGATCATTGCGCTCAGGATAGTGTAGCAGATCATTTGGTTCATCGTCTTAACTTCCCCACGATAAAATAAGTTGTCCATCGTGCAAGAAGCAGGGCACCAAACAGCACAGTGTAGCTGAAGAGGATGAACTTCAAGACTTCTCTAAATGTCCGTAGAAAACGAATTATCAGAGGCTCCTCATCGAAAGTGAATTTTGTTCTTATGTTCCCAAATTTAGGATTGGAGAGTGGTCCCATGTTCTCACCTCGACCCATCCTGTAACACATTTTGCTCAGTCTTACTACTATAGACAATACAAAGCAATCATACCATTTTCAATGAGCCAGCTTGGTAGAACTGCATACACAGGCTTAATTATTTCCACACAGTGACGGTAAAAGTAGTTTCTCAGAAGCATTAATAATTCATTTGTAAATTGCACAAAATGGGTTCTGTATTGATCGACTTACTTGTTCATCATTTTTTATGGTGGTTATTGTTAGAGTAAAACGTTTTTAAGCATCTATATTTTATCGTTAAACTAATGTTTAAAATAAACTCAAATAAAATCAAAATATAGGCTATGGATACAATACAGCGTAGAGACAAAAAAAGAACATATTGAATACCCTACTAATGAAAAGTAGCCAAATGCTGTAAAAGCTTTTGTTTTGGCCTACCTTTACTGTTGCAAGTGAGAAAAGAATCTTCAGAGGGTGGACTCTCCTGCCAGCTCTAAAATCTAGGAGTTTTGAGTTCTTTCCTGACTGGTTTGGCTCCTCCTCCTGTGGTTAATACAAAATGGTGAACAAAAAACAAACTTGAGTACACGGATTGAAAAAAATCCCAGGTTATAAAAGTTAACATCAATTTGATACTATAGATAGATACTTTAAAAACAAATATGATGGGAACATGCCTTACCAGTCTATAAAGTTAACAAGAATATCTGAGTGCACCCAGCCGCCCTCTTTTTGTCCATTGTGTGGATCTTGGTGAAAGTATTGACTCTGAAGAGAGATCAAACACCCTGCATGCAGCGCTGCTATCCTCTACCGGAACACGGAGCAAATGGCCTCCTAATTCAATCAGTGTCCTGCACTGCCAAATCATGGGCTGCTGTGGGCTGGGCTCTCCAGACAGCACTGGCCCATTATCGGCTGATCAGGCCTGTTACTGCGCTAATTGCTCCTTCAGAGAGCTGGACCCCTGCTGAAGGATACACTCCCGTATCCCTGCCTTTCATCATCTCTTTAGTAATCGTGATTATCATGTCTCATGTCAGAGAAAACATGCAACAAGAAGGCCAATGTCATGCCACTGAATTAAGTCAAGAATTACCTAGCTATCACTCAGTTACTGATTTATTAAAAATTTGGTATGGTTGAGAAAACGTTCAACAACAAAAGTAATAGTGACTACAAAGTCAGACATTTTATAAACAACTGCCAAAGCAGATTTTATATACAGCTGGAATCGAAAACGTAACAAGATTGTAATTTGTAATAACTGCTTAAATGGAAGTTAACTGTCATTTCTGTTAGTATCAGTTGCAAAAAACAAACAACTCAACTATTATGGATGTGAAATGGGTGCTTTTACTTAATTGTCCAGTGAAGTATGGAAGAATAATTTAGAAGGTCTGAGATTCAGGCTTGTCCATGAGCGATTTAATCCAGGTAGTGCCATTGATAAGTTTGGTAGTGGCTATAACATACTCCATGCCACTGTCCTCCATTTGAGAGAGGAAACGAAGGGCAGCTATTTCTGCATAAGTTACTCCACCAAGAAAGAAGACCAGAGTTGTACGGTTTTCCCCTTGCTGACCTGTTAAACACACAAAAAGAAAGAAAACATTTCACTAAAAAATAGTAAAATTCTATCTAAGTTAAACACTGTAATGCAAGAGAACTAGGTAACATCACTGTAGAAGAAATATGAAAACACTAGTTTAGCTCTGCAATCACCAGGTTGAGAGTCTCTATTATCACCTTTCAATTCCCAATAAAGCAAACATGTCCAGACAAATCAACTGCTAATGCCACAAACTGCTGTCTCATGAGAGCATTGCAAATTGAGAATATAATTAAATTTATCATTAGAATATCCACACAACCGTTAGCATCCTTTTCAAGCAGAGAATGATGGAGGGAATGCTCTTCTCTGTGCATTGTTGTAACATATGGCTAAACAAACCTAGATAGTGGCACAGTAATTTGCGGCTGTTGCTAAGAATTTATAGCAGTAACAATGCTTGTTTCTTATCTACATGGGCCAGATTGGAGGTTTTGCTGTTTCTGGGAAACAGGGCAAACTGTAGACAAATCCCTACGTTTCTTGTGAAGCCCAGCAGGCAGTTGTTGCCTCTCCTCAAAATGTGGACCAGGAAGCATCTTTAGCACTTCTTCAATACTTCGCCAGCCAGGCCTTGCCAAAACCTGAGTTAGTCGAATGCTTAGAGGGGCATATCCACTATATACATAGGAGATGTCATTTGGATTCTGTAGGGGGAAAAAAATCACATGCATTACTGGGTAAACAACAATAAAAGTCCAACAGAGCTAGTCATGTTTTATTATACCTGTTCATTAGCATCCTCCATCCACAGTTTTAGGGTTTTTCTGATAGTGGGGTAGTTGTTTCTAGAGCTGGTTTGCAGCTTTAGGAGTCCAGCTTTCTCAAGGTTGTTTAATGTTAGTATGTGTTCATAACCATAGGTCTTGAAAGAGAAACAATAAATAATTTTTGGTAAATTTACTCAAATTATATTTCATCAATTGCAATGTATGTCTGCATAAAAAACAAACTGTCATTTAAACTCTTACCTGCAGAATCTCCCTTTTGTAGAAATCCAACACTTTTTGCTTGAGACCATTGTTACATACAGACTGCATACACATTAGACGCAGTATCTTTATCAGGGGGTCCTTTTGAGCAATCCGGTCTTCTATATAGGTGTTAGGCTAGAAAAGTATAAAGCAATTAGATCCGTACTCTGGCCACCATTTTTGGTGCTGAAGAAGAAGTACCTTGTCGGTGTCAACCCCAGTCATAAATTCCTGTTCCACTGTCAGTTTGTCGAAAAAGGCCTCAGACGCTGAAAAATAAGTCCCATGTCACATCTACATGTCGCACCAAGTGGTTAAATAAATTTAAAAAACAGAATGGGTTTACACACTTGTTATATCTTTAATCAGCTCTGCTATTGATGTATGATTTGCTAGGGAGATTCGTGCTGCCTGCATATGTGGTAGCTGTGATACAAACTGCTTTATTTCTCCCACAGTTTTAGCATTGTGGCGTTCCTATGAGAAAGACACACATTAACCAATGTATATATCTTTATGTTGACTTGAATTATAAGGGAGTAATAATTACACAATATACTAATTAACACTGTTATAACAGAATAAAACAGACTGTAACTTAATCATCACAGTGTTATCCATTCCTGTTTGTATTGCTATGAGGTTTTGTTTTCTGCTTGCACACACGCACGCGCACACGCACATGCGCGCACGCACACACGCACACGCACACACACACACCAAATCAGCTCATATCTCTAGCTTATCTCAGCAGATCACTTTTCTAACCTAATAGAGTTGTCTAATGCATTATCAGTGTGGAAATGTCATGGCCATAATCAGACCACCATTCTAATGAAGTTTGTATCAACAGGATAAATTAAAATACAGTACAAATGTAACTAACCTCAAAAGCAGCTGAAATTATTTTGGCCTTCTTGCTGAGAGCAGATCCAACAGCGTTAAAATTTTTGTCTCTAATTTCAGCATACAACTCCTCTGCTGAGTTTAGTTGCAATTTCTTGTGCTCTGTTGGTAAATCTTTACTTGTTTCACCTTGCTTTTTCTGTGCAAACTTTTCTGGAGGCAGTTTCACATAACCTGTGGAATATAAATGTTTCAATTAGCGGCTAGTTCTGATTTCAAATAAATAGCATTATACCGCCTGACCATTATTAATTCCATAGATTTCATCAATTAGCCCCTCGTAAGTCAGTTGGGTAGCTAGTGGGGTAAGCAGGTCAACATTTCGGTCCAAGAGAAGAAGTGTATCAAACACTGGCAAGATTTGGTTTTGACTCCCAGCAAACTCTCTCTTCATTCGCAGCATCATGTTGGCCACATGCTGCAGACAAACAGTAAATTCATTTACAGGATTTTGTTTTAGTGTGATCTCTTTTCCTGTTTCAAGGACTCACCCGTGCACATTCTCCTTTACCATAAATCTGTGGTATAGTTCCATATAGGGCCTGTAGTGTCATAAGGCCTTTGGCTGTGTGATAAAGACTTGTCTGATCATTCTCCAGATAGCACTCCTGTACAACACATAAGGATATTTTTGAAACCTAAAATCATCATTTAGGTACCAAACTTGAGTGAGTACGTTCAGGCAGTGAGGAGTGTGGATTTGACCATACCCTGAAGGCACTTTCATACTCCATAGAAAGAAGATCTCCATCATAAGGTATTAGGTCTAGTATGTACTCATCTATGTTACTGAAAGAGCCTAACACGCCCAACTCCTTCAATCTCTGCTCACACAGCATGCTACGCCGAGGCACAAACAGAATGTGGAAGTCTCGGGAGGGATGCAGTTTATCCTCACTAAGATATGGAACAAACAAACACAAAATAAGCTTGTGGCAGTAAATAATTAAATTGAAAATTACAAGGGAATAACGTGTAAATATTTCAAAATAAATGGACACACCTGAATATGTTGTCGGCTATAATCTCCATGAGCTCCAGTCTGGGCCGAACAAAAAATATGATGTTTTTAACCTCAGCTGAGGGCAATCGCCCACGCTTTAAGGTGAACATCTTATCCACTTCATGCTCCTGAAAAAAATTGTGAACATGGCTTAGTTATACTTTGTAATGTTGAAACATTTGTGGCTTACTTAATCACTTACTTTGAGTAACGAATACTGTGCTATTAGTCCAAATGGCCCAGTGAGATATTCGTCCCATACTATAGCCTAAAGCGCAACAACATAGTGGTTAAAAACAAAACAAAAAAAGTCCATGTTCCTTTTAAAATTAGTTGTAAGATAACGCAGGGTAAAGTAAACAAATAAAATACTCTGTAAAACAGTATTAAGAGTTCTGCAACTCAAACTGCATGGTGCTATGACCATGAACATGAACTGTGGAGGAAAGAAGTTAAGCTAGAATATGTCCCCTTTACTGTCTGGAATGGCTACATACCAGGCTAGCGAGTTCATTCAGCTAACTAGCTCAGCTAACAATAACACGGGCTTCGGTGTAATATTATGAATATACCTTGCTTCCTGCACATTTGTCCAAAAACTCACGAAGCTCCTTTCGTGCTGCTTCTCTTAAAATGTTTAAATTAACTCGTCCGTAAGACAAGTGGGCAGCCATTTCTCCCTTCACAGAAACAAGAGTCAGGTGACAACGCGGATGGTCCACGAAATCACGTGACTAAGGCGTTGCCATAACAATAATTTATAAGGCTCTTCATACTGAAATAAATGCTCCTTCAAACTAACATTAATTAATTACTGAATCGCTTTCGTGTTTTGCATCTGCAGAGGACCATATTGTGTATCTTCATGCCAACATCTCAAATGTGGTAACGGCAGTTTTTTTGCTAACCATTTGTGATGCAATACATATTTTCTCCTAAAGATGGCGACTTAAGTTCACAAAAAGACACCGGTCATTGTAGTCTGAAGAAACAACCTTTTTGCAGTTTTGAAATCTCAATTAATAAAGCTAACCTAAATAGAACAGGGCCAACACAATCAATTATAAATGCTATGTTATCTAAATAAGTATCGCAATTGGGACAATTCGCTTTGAAGACACAACAAAGGGTTTTTGAAGACTTCCCAGGTTTTGAAATCAAATGTGGAATATTTTAGTTTAAAATATTATATATAATAATACATTAAAGTAATGGTGTCAGTTTATTAAATTAAACAGACTTGTGTGATCATAATTAAATATGAACCTACTGTGATTTGACATCTTACTGTAGGGGAATTGTAAGCATTTTTGACATGATCCACTCCAAAACAATTTAATCAGGTGATGAGTGACCTCTTAACCATTCTCACTTCAGATCCAGGGGTTTCCTTCCCAGTCTACCAAGGGCTTTCCATCCTCCACGCAGGAGTGAGAGCCAGTTCCCACGCATTGTGGAGAGGAGACCCGATGTCCCTCTAGAAACGGAGACCACTCATTCACCCCTCACGTAGAAAAACACTCACGGCTTTTTTTTTTTTTTTTTTTTTTTTTTTTTTTTTGGTGACGGGCACCGTGCGCAAAGACTGGCTCCGTGGTCGAATCCTCAGGCTGCACAGACTTTGCATTGAGACCGCATCATTCTCTGACAGCTCCCACAGACAAACACCAGGCACAGAGGCTGGGCTGGATTTTCAGGTATGTCTTTACGATTCTTTTCCCAAAATACAACCTGTGTCTTATGGACTATTTCTGGATAGCCACTGCATTTAATCATGGAAAATAAATGAAATAATTTAATAACAAGTTGAATGAATGCAGCATTTCATTCACAAGAGAAAAAAGTGAGAATTGGGGATCGGATTTTACTCACTAGTTGCTAAAATGATGGCACTTATCTCCGTAATGATAACATAATACTTAATCCTTCAAATAAGATACGTGCACATTTTTCAATATGTGTGGAGCTGCCTCTTACAAATCTACACCAGGTTAAGAAAACAGATATGTAAATGAGTAGTTCATTGATTCCTTTGTTAAGACATGTTTTGCTGAAAAGATCAGTCTGCTGAACAATGTAATACTGTGTCCCTCATAAAGTGATGATAGAGCCTATTACCCTCAGGATTTGTTGCATTGATTTACTACACCATGTCTCATAGTGTTATGCTGCTATTACATGTGGTGTATTCATGAATGGCCGTGATAAATGTGACTGTGTCTGACTTGAAAGGCCATGTCCTAAATCACTTCTCAACAGATTACGGAGGGTGTCTAGTAGCTGATGGCTGCTTCCTTTTGACATAACTGATTTAAAAAAAAAGCTGGATCTTGTGGGAGATTGCTTACAGTCAGTCCCAGGGCGTTGCTGCAGGATTTTTCGGAGCGCATGCTGGGGCTCTTTGCCTGCAGACACTTGGAGAGCTTTTAGTAGTGGCCGTGCATTTTCCAGTGATGTGATGATATGGGTAGGGCTGTCAATTCCAACACTGACACATGCACAGGTTTTGGATGCCTGTATGCTGTAAAGTTGTCCTTTAGGTTTATACTGTGAGTCATTAGGTGAATACAACTTAAAATAGGTTTTCTCCTGGAAAATCTAACTGGGAATGTGCCTTCTTCCCAATTCTTCCAACTCCTCCTCCAAAGATGAAGGATGGGGATTAAATGGGGGAGGGGTAGAGAAAGACTGAATGAATGCAATTTTATATTTCTGCAGCTGCTTTCTCCAACAAATACAGTAGTGGCAGGCAGGGTGACATTCTCATTCCCCTGTTGAAATTGATGTGAGTACACAATAGCAAGATGTCTCCCTTGGTTTGGGCAAGATGTAGATGAGGCAAGAACCTGGGGACTGTGAAACTAGCGTTAAGGGAAAAGGTTAAAAAAGGATGGAGATTTTTGCATTATTTAACGATGCAAAAGACGCAAGCCAACTGTACTCCCATGTCTCCAGCTGGTCTCACCATCTTACTGTATGCACCATTACAGATTCATAGCCAGCCATGCTTTTTAATGACGTAATAAAAGCTGTTTTGCATATGCTTTCAAATCTGGCACAGGTAAAAGCTACTATGAACTGACAGGGCATCTCATACACTCGTGCACGCAGCATTTAATCATCCTGATTCTTCTGATCTTGCCGTTTCCATGGTCACAGCTGGTAAAGGTGCATGACTCTATGTTCAGTGTTCCAGTGTGCTTCTCATAATGCAAACACACAGCTAAAGACAAACCACTAAACTTACTATATCATAATTAACTTGATTTCACTGCCAGTAAGGCTTTCTGAGTCACATATGGAACGGCATTTATCTGGTATGTTTTACAGGTTCATAAAAGATATATGGGACATGCCAGATTGAATATTAAAAAAGACTTCAACACATGATAAAATACTTACTTACAATTTACTTACCTATTTTTATGGCTTGTGAATGAATTTTACTCTATCTAATGCAAATGTGTAATCTAAGTCTACTTTAATTAGGATCCAGTATTAAAAAGATGTCCACAATTGGTTGGTTAATTTCACAGCCAATTCATATATTTATACAGTAAAAATATAATGATGTTACTAACATTCAAATTTTCCCCAAATCTTTTTTTTTCCTTAAATATAAATGATTTTTTTCAGCTAGTCAAAGGGTGTTGGAGTTGTCAGTATCCAATTGGGAAATAACCAACAGAAAAAGGTTGGAATTGGGAATGCTGGTCTAGAGCAAACAAGTAATTACATCTGCATTGACTTTACAAAAGACAAGAAAAGGCATCCTATTAAAGTTTCTTCAAAAAATGATTGTAGATTGTACACACAAAAGCTTTATTGTTCAAAATCTCACTATGGCAACTAATTACTCTGACCCTGATGAGATACTTCCTGATTTTTTGCCACAAGTTGTAAATACGCCATCCTTCTCCCATAGACTCATGCCAAAACATCCAACTGGGAATTTGTCTTTAACATTAGCCTAAAGATTATTTTTAGACCTGACCTGTTTAGCTGTCTTTCTTGCAAACAGATCATTTAAACACACCCATGGGGCATGTGCTGCTCAGGACAAGAAAGGGGAGGGGTGGGGGCAGGCCCAACTAACAATGATACTTGCACCATCAACCTATTCTATAGCTTGTCTTGAAGTCTACGGCACTAACCTTTCACCTTTCTCTTTTGGGCTACATGGAATCTATTGCTTCCTCCCATCCTTAATTCACTTGATATTTTGGTGAATTGACTATTATAAAATTGTTTAGTCGAATATCTTTGTTTGTCCCAATGATCCTTGTCCAATATGAATAAAACCAGAAACCTAAAGGCTGAAGCTCACTATACAAGTTTTTGCCCCTCACTGACCATTGGTTAGCTGATGACATTAAAGGAAGAAATACTCAGTGCCTTTAGGACCAGTGTTTATTGGGGTAATTTAATGCCCCTGTCTGGTAGTACTTCTTTTACTGAGATAAGACAAAGGTAAATGAAGCAGCATGACTCTTCAATACATCAGCAGCTAGTTGTCCACGTCCCACCTCTTAGCTCAAGGGCACGGATGGGAGATGAATCACCATCGTCCAAACAAATTCTAGACTCACTTCACGCCCTTGTTGAACTGAATATAATTAAATGCTCCTGTCTGATTATGTTGTATTCTTGATTACTTTCTCCCCTTGTCTTCAATTTCAACTAGCTCACTCTATCCTCTTCTTCATCCTTGTCACACTGAAACTCATTTCTGATCCAATATTGCTTTTTTCCCACTGTAATACACCTATTATTTTATTTATGCACACCCCACGTTGATTTATAATATTGTCCTAAAATCCAATTTTAAATTGAGATCAGATTACTACTGGAAAAGAGCCATACCTCTTTTGGAGCTTGGCATTTCTTGGTCAGTCACAGAATTTACCTCCTTTGCTGATGCGATTTGGATATTTTGCATAATGATTATCACTTTATTGTGACTGCTATATTTGGTGGTTTTCAGATTATAGAATTTGATGATGCCATGTTCCCATATTGGGGGAAATCACTGCAAAATCATTTAGCATTTTAACAGTATTAATTTTAGCTGCCCCCTATCTGTGTTACATACTGTATTACTATATTACTGTATTACTTGATACATTGGTATCAATTGATGTATTATAATATGCATTGTATTATATATTGTGTTCTGCCTGAAAAATGTATTTCTTTTGGGATAATAAAGTATTTGTCTAATGTAATCTAATTTATTAATTAATATTGGCCTATAGAATGCTTTGATTTCATCTGTAACCCAGCTATATAGTAAATAGAATACAGAACTTAAGTTACATTGCATTGGTTGTGTTGATTTAGGCATGAATAAATGGCCAAGCATATTGTATTGTGTCTATTGGCGTGGCAATTGCAACACAACAGCATGGCAGCTTGTTGGTCACTAGATGGTCTTTCCTGTTTATTGTCAGCCAGTGTGAGACTTGGAGTGGTGCCTGCCTGGAGAACACACTTGAAAAGCTGCAGCCCTCACATTTCTCTCACATTTTAGAGGTAAGCCTTTCTCCCAGATGGCCACGCAGATGGTTCTTGTCAACTCGATTGTCTCCCTGAAAACATGGATAATTTGTAAATGCCACCAGCAAAACTACTGATATCTTAAACATGGCTGCTCCCCTCATAACAGAAATAGGTGGTGTATGTTTATATTGAGTGTGTGGAGATATGAGTGGCTGCAGCAAGGCTTTTATACCGGGCACAGATAGAGTGAAAAGGCAACGGGGGTAGGATATGTAAATAATTAAAAAATGCTGAGTGATGTTTTCTTCCTGCAGAGGTCTTGTTGGTGCAGAGCTTAACAGTCTTCTCCTATGTGTGAATATATTGGCACTCTGAAGCTTTTGTGGAGGGTAGATGCACCATACAGTTATATTATTATGGCAACTTATAGTGTACAAAAATGAATGACCTTAAATGATAGCACAAACTGCAATTGTAGCGTTGTTTTTCCACTTGTCAAAGAAATACCACATAAATTGCTTTTTAGTACACTTTTTTATTAACAAAATAACCCAGCTCTACTTTTCATTATAGCAGGCATTCACATATTTTAATGACAAACTCATATTGTCAGTGTCATTCACCTTTACAACACCTTATCACAATAAAAATATGAATGCATTTGAGTTCCTAGCATTTAATTGAATAATAATTACAACAGACAGAATGTTGATTTTGAAAATACTGACACTTCACACTCTGTCCTACATATCTTACAAACCAGTGACATTTTATCTTTAGCAGAACATGCTTTTTATGCTTCATGCCTGTTGACATTTGACTTGCAACAATATTGCTGAGCATGTGAAAAATAGCCGTCGTTGCTCCAGTAAAGCAACTTCAAATGCCATCCTTACAATGTATATAACACCCTGTCTTGAATACAGTGAAGCTAAACTGAAAAGAACATAGCTAAGTTGTTATTCCTATATAACATTAGGTTGACTGAGTCTAAAATGAAAAAGCATATGAGCTACAACTGATGAAACAATAATGGCAACTACAAAAGTGTGCGTGTGTTAGATTATTGCTAGTGTGTATATGCCTGTACTGATGTGAATATACATTTTTACATGTATTTCACACAAGCACCTCACCAATGGTTTCAGGAGGAAAATGTTGATTTGAGCCTAGGAGCCTGCGATGGAGGGTATGTGGCAGGTGCAAGAGTGCTTCAAGGCAAATTCTGTATTTTACAGCACCAAAGCTCAAGGCATGATGGAAGATATATTGCAGTAGACCCCACTGTGGTATTTTGAATTGATCTCTCTCTCTCATTAACCCACTTTAGAAATGGCCTCTTTGGAAATTGACAAGGGAATTTGTGTCATGTAATTTAAGAGAACTACATCAAATTCAGTGTCATCGTAATCAAATAGGACACAAGTACTTAAATGGGATATGTATTCAGCTTCCAGTTATTGGCACCAAGACTTTTGGTCATTCGAGAGATTGAATATTTTGTTTTGAATTGTTTGTTGTTATGGTGACAGTCCCAATTTTTCATCTCTGAAACAGATGGATAAGGAGGATAAGCATACTCAAACCCAGGATACTGAAGCTGTTCTCATTTTACCACATGCTGCGTGCTAGTGTGGACTACATCTCTGGAGTGTTTTAAGAAAATGAATAAATTCACAGTTCTTGGTAATTTTAACATTTTGCTGAGCCAAGTATAAAAAGATACCTCTCCCTTCACCCATCCCCCTTTAACTCTCTGCCATGTTTACATAATGAGCAATCAATACGTCAACCTTACTGGCTAGGTGTCACTCTACTTTTCTCACATCCTCATTCTCTTAAAGATAACAACAAAATATTAATTCAAAAAGGGAGGAGCCCATGAAACAAACTCCCTGTCGTATGTTCTGCAGTAATGACTCATATACCTGCTGCTGTAACTGACAGCAGCAGCAATCACTGGTGAGAGTGACTGAAAAGACATTAGGCTGGTTACTCATGCTGAACGTTGAGTTCAAGTGCCCTGGGAAAATGCATGGCCTTGCTTCTAAAAATGGATATGGAAAATGAATGCCATAAGCTTCGGACTGATACATATCTTACCTTAAAGCATGTATGTAGATTTGTATTGATTTTACCTCCGGCCAGAAAAAGGAGGTTTCTAAATCGGGCTTTTCCACCCTCATAAGAAATCTTAAAGAAGATGACTTACGATAATCCTGTAGATGACTATGTAAGTGATGCTTCTCTGGTCTGTTTTGTTGTCATATCACAATGGATCTGTTACTATTCATGCTCAGTGCCTTCCTCAGCAGTGTAGTGTGGTAGTGGATTGCAGTTGTAGCATTGAGTCACATATTCTCTGTTACGTGAGTAAATCTTTTTTCTTTTTGTCTTATTACAATAATTGAGGTAGATAATTAATAAAAACTGCAATGGTAAAACAAAAGAAATATTTTATGTTTTTTTTTTTTAGTTTGTCTACAGACCAAATGTCTCAGTTCCCATTTGTAAAATCATACATTAAAAATCGTCATGCTCTGTGACATTCAGAATACTAGCAGCTCTTCAGAGGAGGAAAAGTCGCCACCGGACTGAGTCATCTTCTGTTGGAGGAAAACATGAAGGAGATGGCAGTGGCACCATGGGACAGTCACAGATGACGCACATGAGTCTATTGTAAAACTTAAAAAATGGATAAGGCTGGTACAGACGTCATAACTTTTGGTAATAACAAGACTTATCCTGACATTTGGCCCCACAGACAGTTTAATATAATTGGCCTCCACTCCTTTTTCAAGCAGTCTTTATGTTACTTAATATGCATTGCTTAATAGACTATATGACTAGATGGAATGTCTACTAGTGCAAGAGGCTATAGATGGTGTTCTAAATTATTACATCCTACATGGGATGCAGGATGTTTCTATAAACATTAATCTCTTATCTAAGTGTGAATGGTTATCTGTCTCTATGCAACAGTTAAATAGTAGTCTGTTTAAGTTTTACTCTATTGTGCACTTCATTTTACATCCAAAACACTGAACACTGTTCTTTGTTAATCGTTCATCAATCTCAAGTCATTCATTATCACTACTCAAAAATGTCAGCTTTTCTCCACTTACACAGTATAGAATTTATTCTTATTTATTTAATTTGACATTTTGTGTTTTATCATTTGATGTGAAGACCATAAATCATGGTTATGTGATAGGTTTAAAAAAATGTTGACTCTTAATTAGCAAATTTGACAGCAGGCTTGGGACTTGGGAGCTTGATAAAATACTGGTGTAGTTATTTGGTTTGGTAAAATACTTTAACTATATCATTACAAGCTAATTAGTCTTGTCATTGCACGCATAGTGCTATTTTGATGTGAATTCTAAATATATGTGGACTGTAGTGTTAGGCCCATAAAGTCAATGTCCCTGATGTAGTAGCTTTTATGCACAGAACTAGCACTGACAGATCTAGTTTACACAGCCCCTGCACTGAATATCCTCCTCCTTCATTATGCTCGGAGTGTCAACATCCAGGATGATCCTGAGACAAAGAGGTCTACAGTTCATTCCCTTTGTGTATAAGATAACTCTAGGCATGCCTTAACTGTCAGGGCACTGCTGAAAATTGGGTAGAGACGTATATTCCCATAGGACCATCCGTCGTATGGTTACACTAGTATTAAGGGGAGTGGGGGTACACCATTGTGTCTATTGATAGCACAGCAAAGTTATCATTATTCTATAGGACCTCAGGCAGTGCACCAGATAAGAGCTGCAGGTATGTTAAGCAGTGCACCCTCTTTTATTCTGTCTTCTCCATACTCACGACCACTTCGACTGTTCTGAATAGAGCTTATTGATTTTCCTTTTATCATTATGCATCTTTATCACCATCACTTTCTCTTCCTGTTCTATATAATACTTCAGCCTTCACGGTTGCCTCACTTGCAGTATTTGAGCGACTCCCAGAGGCTTTGAGCGGCTTTAAGTGGATGACGTTCTTCCTTAAAGGAGACGGCAGGTCTTCACTGAGTGTTGGCACTTCCCCTTAGGACATACAGCGTATCCTCGGGCCAATGCTGCAGTACAACTCTTTGCATTGTCAGACTGATATAGAGACTTGAAACCACCATAATTCAATTGCCCAATGTAGAGAAACAGTCTTAGACTTGCTTGTGGCTGGTACTGATTTCTGTTCTCTTTATTGTAGCCATATAGGGACTTTTTTTCAGAGATCTTGCGATTCCACTGGGGCTCTATATCAGGTGCAATGGGACCTGGATCCAAGGCTGCATCTTGGTCTGGAGTATCACTGGCTGGTATATTCCAGGTTTAGGTTTGAGAACATGAAGCAGGCAATGTGTGGCACTATTTGGAGCTGACGTATTATTAAATTCAAATGATTTTTACAAGGTCTCTGAAATCATAACTTTTATAGACGTACATCCCAAATGGATCTCCTTTGACTCTTTACAATGATTATTAGGCCTAGGCTGTGTTCCCAGACTGTTTTCATATACTGCAGAATCTTCCACTATTCCACATGTGAAATACTTTGTGGGGTATTTCTGGGGTTTATGATCATCCACATTCATTGTGCTGTTTTATGTAAATCATTGTTGTATTGTGTTCGCAGCTGTTTTTATTGCTACATGCATCTTTATTGTATAACAGTAAACATGTGTGTCAATGCAGTAGAAATAAACAGCTTATTAATCATGTCATTACTACATGTAATACATCTTCTTGTAGTTACTGTGCCACCCAGAGAATATAATAATGAGAAAACAAGCACCTTCCCCTTCCATTTTTTGTCCTCGTCAAATGTGTTTAGGGTAGCAGTTTCATTAAAATTTTATTTGGCAAAATAATAGGCCTCTCCTCCCCCATTTTGTCTGACCTTCTCCTCAAAGCGCTGCCACTGAAACCAAAAGAGCCAAGGCCACCCACTTTCCTTCTGGTTAAGGGACAATATTTTTAATGCACAAGAATATTTTCAATAAACATTTTAGAAGAAAAGTCCTTTCTGCACCTATGCTGTCTTTCTGTGAAGCACTAGAGCTATTTCGTGAAAATGAGGAGGGGGAGAATTTTGTCAAAGCAAGCTTGGAAAGTGAATCTCCTGCTGTTTAGTTTTCCAAATTGGCAATAGCATCTGCTTAGGCAGCTCTTGGTACAGAATATTGGCATATAAAACGTTCAATTAAATGATGCAAAAAGATGAGGAAGAGAAATGATATATGGTAGGAATTATTTCATATATCACCCAAATACACATCTTGGCTCTGGGTTTGTGGCAAAGGTTTATGGGTAATTGCTTAACTCTTCATCAATGGAGAGAGATTATTTAAGTTATACTGAAGAAATGCCAGCTGGGTTTCTGTATTGTCTAGACTCACACATGTGGTGCCAATTCCCTTTCCTTATTCAGGAACTAGCAGTTTTATCAATGCAGCGTTAACAGAAAAATGAGACATGATTCATCAATTGTGTTTTTTATATATTTTGTGTACCTTATGTATTGCTGCATTTCTTTGAATCTATTACAGGCTGTGACAGAGCAGCCATGACAGACACTGTGATGAGTGGTGGTTCTGATCGCTGGGTATCAAACAATAGACAAAGGGGAATGCATTCAAGGTAAGAATTTTAAGTTTTTTGTTTTGACAGTGAATCCCTCGTTAAACTGTGACTTATTTTTCCCTTAACTTGCATCACAATGATTACAGTGATAAAGAACAGTAAGTATATTCATGTAAAAATCTATCTATCTATTGTACAATCTCTTCCAGCCTAGAACCTTCTTTGTTTTGTGCTCAGTACTGCATGCAAATTGTGCCTATAAATAAATATTGCAAAGCTGTTGTAACTAAACTGGAGGCTGTTTGGCTAATAGGGAGAACTGGACCATGCAGCAAGGTCCTGGTGCAGGTCCAGACCTAACGGATGAAGAGAAGGAGATTATCAACAGTGTAATTGCCCGCGCTGAGAAAATGGAGGCCATGGAACAAGAAAGAATTGGGTAAAATATTGCACTTGTATAGTACTTTTTTGGTTTACTATGGAGTGTGCCAAGCCCTAGCCTCCTCTAGAATGGCCACTGCTCCCCCAGAGCTCCCCCAAAATATGTTGAAATGGATTGTCTAAAATGTGACTACTGCACCATACAGAAAGAACTGAATATTAGGTGTTGTAATCACTACAGGGTGCTAAACTTGTTTTAAACTTGTTTAAAACAGCAAAGCAAATAGAGTAGGGGGTGGAGGTGTGCTCACATCCATAAAAGGTTCTAATTACCATGATAAGTGTACACCCCAATTGACGAACATAGCACCCCGAAAGCTCCTCCAACCAAAAAATGTCTGGTGCTGCCTCTGTGCCAAGCAGTATATCAGTTAATTCTTTCACCAATTCCTGTTATATTTATTTTTGATAGTTATTGCAGATAACTGGTAGTTATGGCTGATATACAGTATGTACTAAAGGTCAGCTGATAAACATAACCATAAAGACTTTTGTTCGAATTCTGGGTGCTCTTTGCAGGCGCTTGATAAATAACCTGGATGATATGAAGAAGACCGTGTGTGGGGATGGAGTGTCCCGCTGTTTGGTGTGTGGAGAGCAGCTGGGCTCACCTGGGGTCAGCTCAGTGGTGTGTGAAGACTGTAAAAAGGTACTCAGTTTGTTACATTTTTCTGTTTCATCTTTGGTTTGCATATTGGTTTGTATATTTTTCTGCAAATGGTGTACAGCTGCAAATCTGCCTGTTTTTCTTCCTGTCATGTAGAGCATGTGTACTAAGTGTGGTACGCAGTGTAGCAGCCGGCCACGTGCTGTGTGGCTATGCAAGATCTGCAGGGAACAGAGAGAGGTACACTGCTGCTGAATTTGGAAGATCACAAAGGGAAAAGACAGATTACAGACAACCACTGTGTCGATGTCCTCAGGTATGGAAGAGGTCCGGTGCATGGTTCTTTAAAGGTTTCCCGAAACATTTTCTCCCTGCTCCAATGCCTTTGTCCAAACCTAAAGATGAGCCTGCTCCAGCCACAGCAAAGAGCAAAGGACCACCTGCTTCGGAGTCAAAAGAGGCCATACCTCAAACACAGCGACCACCAGGTTTGAATTAATAGGGTTTTGTATTGACGACTTTAAATAATTAATAGTAATAGTATGCTGGTAAAGAATAAGAATAAGAATAAGAATAAGAATAAGAAAAATAAGTAACTACTTACACTGACTGAGCCTATACATACATGGTCATTATGCACCCTATTACTGTGGCCTATTTTTTGCTTTGCAGTAATGAGTGATATTGTCACAATATTTTTTTCATTCAGATGAAAGTCAAACTTCTGTCTCTGAGCAGGAAGGTCCAGGCAAGTCAACAGCATAATGCAGCCCTATCTGAAACTTGAAAATGCTTGTGCGATGTACAGTTCTCAGTATACCCCTGCCTCACTTGTTTCAAACCTCTGTGTCATTATATCTGCAGTAGACCTTTACTGACCTTTATCCTCCCAAATCTGCCACTCATACTATCCCACACCTTTGTCCCTCCCAGATTTTTGCAGCACCTCCCACAGCTATTGCAGACAGGGATGAGAGCAGCAAATTAAACTGCCGGAAGGTGCATGCTGTGACTTAAGATGAGCCTCGAGAGGTTGATGGCATGAACATATCATTTAACATTTTGGAGATCATTTCTGATGCAGCATGATATCTTGATAAAGAGGCACCTAGAAAAGAACTGTTTCTGCATGCACAGTGTAGTGTATTGCTTCAGCCTGTTGGAGAATATGTAGGTCAATGCCTTTGTTATAAAAAGTACCAGATCAAAAGTTTTCAGGGAGGTCTGCCGCTGTAGCTATCTGGTATTGCATGCCTCTGATTTGTATTGCCTGTTTGTGTATTTTATTTGCTATATGATGATTCTGATTTTAAGGTCAAGCGCCACACACCCGTGCTGGATACCCACCGGTGGCGCCAAAGCCTGCAGTGGCACGCATGGCCACAGGCGGTGCAGGTGCTGATGAGGCGGGGCAGTCTAGCCCAGTGGTGATGAAAAAGATGATCCCTGTTCATAGCTCCAGGCCTGGTGCCTCAGCTACTATAGCTCAGCAGGGTAAGAAATCACTAGAAATCCACACACCTACGCATGTCCTCATCATAGGATCAAGCCATTCATGAAATATCACATCACCAGTTGTTTAGTTGCACTTAGTCACATGATTGGATGCCTTTGTAGGATCAGTGGTTGGAGAAACAGGACTCTACTCCTCTGAGCAAAGAGCTCCCCCTGCTGCAGACAGGAGGCAGCCTGCTGCCTACAGTGCTCCTCCAGTCCGACAGCAGCCTCCCCCAGAGGAGGAGGAGGAGGCCAACGACTACGACTCTGATGAAGCCAGTGAGTACACCATCTGCTCTCTTCACTCTAAAAGAAGTCTTGAGAGATCTATCCGTCTGTGGGTGGTAAATGCATGTGTGCTCACTTTGTCTTACCTCAAATCTAACACTATTGATTGTATTGATTTGAGAAAAAGAATACATTATTTATAAAAACAACATGAGATGCTTTTATTCAGTATATGTTTATACTTAGCTGTGTTTTCCACTGCCGGATCCCTTCAAATACTAGGCTATGTTTGCCTATTTGAGTCTTAATAATTAATTTACAATGAACATCTTTATAGATTCAGTAGTTGGTGTAGTCTTCTGTGTATTTAGTGCAGTTTCCACTTGAAGGAAGAAGAAAGGATTGTGCAGATTTATTAGTAATTGGAGTTCATTAAACTAAATAATAAAAAACCTAACTAGCTGTGGACAGTATGTTATAATGCCTAAAAATCCAGTTTTATAATAAAAGTGGTGCCATGTCTGTCAAATGCCTACAGGCTCAAACACCTTTTATTCACTCTCCTGGGATTTATGTGTTAATTTATTTTATTGAGGTCCCCCATCCAAGAATATGAGACTGTGCAAATAACGTTATAATTCGAGCTAACAGGATATAGATTCCCCTTGTGATTGATTTAGTCCCCTGTGTTCATTGCACTAAAAATAGTTGTGGCATCATGTCCGTATTTCTAGAGTTAAGACACCAGCTTTTGGTTTCAGCAATGATTATGCTAGAGTCCGGCTGTTGCAATATATAAATGTTTCATTCAAATGCTCCCCAAGGTGCTGAGTTTGCAAAAATTTGCCGACAGCATATTGTTTAACCTAATTCCTATATTGTATTCCTTGTAGAGTTGTCAACTTAAATACCATTCTTTTATGCTGATTGTATTTCTGTCGCAACTAGAAATGAAAATCTGATGCATCAATCAAAACACATACAGTAAACTGCCTAACATTTAATCACTAGCTAAATTATCCATCAGTTGCATTTACTGTTTCTGGTTTAGTCAAATGTAATGATTGGTCTGGGTCTCTTTCAGCAACTCTGGGCTCTCTGGAATTCAGTCTTCTCTATGATCAGGAAAGCAACAGCCTCCATTGTAGCATCCTCAAAGCAAAGGTACTATTACACTCTTTGTACATGCACATAGGGGCAATTACAATGAAGAGCTTTTGTTTTAAAATGCTCCTGAATGACACTTATGGCTAAGTAATGTTTGTGGTTCATAATGGTGCTGTTTTCTTCTTGTTAAAGGGACTTAAACCAATGGATTCCAATGGTTTGGCAGATCCTTATGTCAAGCTTCATCTTTTACCAGGAGCAAGTAAGGTAAAAGAGACCACCTGCTTTTGTGTCTGACATCTACTGCCAAAATGGGAGGGCAGTGATAAGAACCCCGTGGTTTGTAAAGGGGGTCTTTTTGCCAACTCAAGTCTGCCATCTGCTGGATGGAGTTAACTATACAATACACAATAATAGTATTCTATGGAAAATGTGCTTCTGTAGTTCAGGTAAAGGTGTTATACATAAAATCCTATTGTTGATAATATCTTAAGGTTCATCACAATTCATGTATCAAAATGTAGATACAAGAATGATAAGAATTTACAGACCACAAATATGTCTGGTGAGATCCAACATGCCTCAGTTTAATGTTTGCTCTTTTTTGTCAGTCAACAAAGCTGCGCACAAAAACACTTAGAAATACCCGGAACCCTGTGTGGAATGAGACGCTCACATATCACGGACTGACAGATGACGACATGCAACGCAAGACTCTTAGGTAGATGTAGCATCCTAAAGGAATTACACTTAAATCAGTCAGAATTAACAGATTTGTTTTCATGTTTTCAAGGGTTGCACACCCTGAAAGCTGTTAATTGACATTTCATTTTGTAGGCTGTCTGTCTGTGATGAAGACAAGTTTGGGCATAATGAGTTTATTGGTGAAACTAGAGTCGCGCTGAAGAAACTGAAGATGAACCAGAAGAAGAACTTCAATGTGTGTCTCGAGAGAGTTGTCCCAGTGAGTGTAATAAAGTTAGTGTAAAACAATGATCTGCTCTGGCTAGTTTAGTCTCTTATTGACCTGCGGTAATCTTGTTTTCTGTGCAGACCAAGAGGACTGCGACAGCTGGAGTAGCCAGGGGCATAGCTCTTTACGAAGATGAGGCAATGCTTTAAATCTTGCCTGTTTCAACAGGATTTAATACTGTTCTTATTACAAATACCTTTTTTATCATGAAATGTCTTTTACAGACAGGGAAAGATGGGAGCGAGTCAGAGGAGCGTGGTCGAATCCTCATTTCTCTCATGTACAGCACTCAACTGAACCGCCTCATAGTAGGTGTTGTACGCTGTGTTCATCTCGCTGCTATGGATGCCAATGGGTACTCTGATCCTTATGTCAAAATGTAGGTCCTATAAGGAGAATGATGCCATTATAAATGAGGCAGCAAATGATCCAAGATTAATTCTACTTTATACATGTTACAGTTGTCTTAAACCTGACATGGGAAAAAAGGGCAAGTCTAAAACACAAATCAAGAAGAGAACTCTCAACCCAGAGTTTAACGAAGTAAGCGATGAAAGTTTGTGTCTAACAACCACAGAATAATGTGAAATGATGATAATTGACATAGTATGTAATATTTAATTTGTTGTATGCTTAAATTTAGGAGTTCAGCTATGACATCAAACACAGTGAACTTGCTAAGAAGACCCTAGACATATCTGTGTGGGATTATGACATTGGAAAGGCCAATGATTACATAGGTAAATATGGCACCACAACTTTTAGCTGTCTCGTATAAATACTGATAACCTGAGTAACCAAGGGAAACGGCATGTTTTCAGGTGGATGTCAGCTGGGTATTACTGCCAAAGGGGAACGACTCAAACACTGGTATGAATGTCTGAAGAATAAAGACAAGAAGATTGAGCGTTGGCACACCTTGTTAAATGAAAATCACATCTCTAGTGATTAACCCGTCATTCTGCATGAGTGGGGTTGTCATATGCTTGCTAACTTAGTTTATTATCATATCCTGACGCACTTTTTACATGCTTCTTTCTTACATATTTCCACTGCCTCATATAGACATTGTTCAAGTTCAGATGTAATCATCATCTCATTGAAACCAATCTCTGCCTGTGCTTTTTCCAAACTGCCTCTGGGACAAATCATTTATAAACAAAATCTAAGTTTTATTAATGTAACCAAGACCACAAAGAAACACATCAGTCAATAGCTGCACAATGACCGCTATGCCTGTCATCAATGTTACTTATTGTACTGAACTTGATGTGCTCTTTGATAAAGAAATACGGGGTCTGTTTATACTGGAACAAAGAAAGCAATATACTGAAGTGTAGAGATTTGACCCTTTCATAAGAGGCCTTGGCTGAGTTCATGCCTGTATTTCCTAGACTCAGAGTATCAGAGTATAATTTCAAATGTTGTATGTATTCAGCTCACTGTAGTTTAACTTAAGCATGCCAAGTCACCACACACTGCCCATAACATGCTGTATATTTCCATAAAGAAATGTTTACATAAAGTTACATTGCTCAGGTTAGAATAGATATTATAAAATCATCTGATTTTCAGGTGATGCATCAAAATGTGGACCATGAGCTAGATAAACCTTTTACCATTTACTATTAAATTAAGGTTATAGCACACAAAGTAAGCTTTATATGTATAAGTAATTGGGATGTTTTGTTTGTGAAAAGTATTCCTTGTTTCATAAGAAAACATAGTTTAATGTTATTTCAAAGACAATTAGCTGCAAAAGATAATTCTTTCTGCTAGCTTGGCTCTGAGGTCTACTGCTAAATATACAATACCTGTGGTCAGGTTTCTCATAATATTTCCTTAAACATGACTGCTCTGCTCAAAAGGTCGAGCGGGGATAGGCTGTCATTAGTGTGCAGCTTTACCTGCATGCACTGTGTTCATGTTTTTCGTGTGCCTAGGGCAGTTGTGGGCTGCTCCTATCCCAATACTTTGCACAAAGCAGGGCTATTTCTCCTCTGCCACGCCCCAATCATTTGAGGCTTCAGTGTGTGTTCTTTAATCACAGAAAAACCAAGGAAAGCACACTTACAAAGTGGAATGACCTCAATTTATACAACTGTTTGCAAACCCTATGCATGAATGTCTTGTGGTTCAAGATATCTAGCCTTTGTAAGAAATAAATGCTATAGTAAGTCTATATATGTTTACACTTGCTGCCACATTCCCTCAGTATTCTAGCATGACTACAATGATACAGTATTGTCTAAATCTGGTATAATATCACAGAGATCATAAATAACAGTGCACAAACTGTACAGTAGCAGATTTATCTTCCTATACAAATTATATCCATCAATGTCTTGAGTTGTCTCACATCTAAGTAATTACCTTAAAATATAATTATTTTTTACTTTGCTCCCCTGAGTTTATTCTGCCAGTTTTAATGGAATGTTTGTTAAATCCGTCATTGTAAATAAATTGTGCATGCACTGAAAGATTGTACGTTTGCAGATAACTGTGCATGTAAACATTTTGCAACGTTTACACAGATCAATAAAATGTATCGCAAATAGATTCTTATTGTCAACTCTCACTGCTGCCACCTGGTGTGGATAACTGCAACAACATTTTTAGGATAATGATTAAAAACTAACAGCTTTCTATAGGAATTGTGAGATCTATAATGAACTGAAAGGAAACGACATGAAACACAAGTTCATTGAAACAGCTTTCTACTTAGAGCATGACTAGAGGTCAAATCCATGGGGTCTGTTTTTTTTTTTAATTCACTTTTTTTTTTTTTTTTCTTTCTTTAGCTCTAGGCATGTGTAAACCCCAGACTTTACGTACCCTCACGTTAGGGAGTGTCATCAGTTCACCTGACAGACCAATCACAGCTCCTTGTAGACCGGTACCTTAAGGGCACACATGCCTGTCTCTCACTACACATTTTACCTGGTACACATTTGACCTGGTGCATTTTACCTGGCCGGAGCACAGGATAACTCGCATGGTTCTTATGCCAAAGACTACTTTATTTTATCTATTGTGCAAGACAGGCGCACTGAAATGCAAGTTAGATGGGTGGCTTTCATTCACAATATTATTGCGCTACAAACGCTCGTTAAATGTAAATTACAAAATGTGATGGACCCTGGGACCATCTCTTCTCTCACAGAAAGTTATCTTGGGCAAGGCCATACGCAGGTCACGTTTCTTCGCGTGGAAAGAGGCTTGCTTCTGTACGTCACACTGTGGTCCGAAGATATGCGTCTACAGGCATGCGACGTAATAAGCAACCCACTAGTTATAGAAAGCTACAGGACGTCTTACAGCAGGAGCAGTGGTGAGAATGAGCCGCTCTATCAAAGATTTAACTTAAGCGTTATACTGTCTCCCAATGCACCGTGCGTCAAGATTGATGCGTCCAAAGATGAGCACAGACGTGAAGGAGGGGAGGCAAAGGGGAGAAGAAAACGCTCTTGGATTTTCCCGGGAACTCTATGGTGTGGAACTGGAAGCAAAGCTCATGGATATGATGAACTTGGTGAGTCATATTTTTAGCTTTATCATTTTAAAATAAAAAGCCAAACCAAGCAACTTGCAGGTGTAGTGTATAGTCCCCGTCCTAGAATTACCTTTGAACTGTGTCATTTTTTTAACTCATTCCAAACTCGTTTCAGAGTGGTGATTTTTATTCCACAAATGTGTCTTGCAACACAATCAAAATTAGTAACACAGCTGACAGTAAGGGACGGTTACTGCAGTGACGTGTCCTCTGCTCGTTACAGGCATGTTTGAGAGTGCAGACAGGTGCTGCCGTGAGCATGACCACTGCCGACACATCATTCCTGCTTTCACAGTGAATTACGGAGTCTTCAATCCAAACTTTTTCACGGTTTCTCACTGTGACTGCGACCAGAGGTGGGTGCCAATGCCTTGGCAGTCCAAAAAAAAAAAAAAAAAAAAAAAAAAAACTGCCTGCAGGCATCTATCCCTGATAGATTAATGAGATTGCATTTTTAGATGTGGTTGAAACTTGAAAGTTGGATGCATCTACTCGAACTGACATTTATTACTGAAATAGTGTATAGCCTATTACTTATTTTATTTATGTCTGTTTGTCTATCCTTCTCCAGGTTTCGACAGTGTCTCTTGGATGTGAATGATACCATATCTAGTATGGTGCTCTACAGCTTTTTCAAAATTCTGAAAGTTCCATGCATTGAGCTCAAACTACAAAAGGGATGCACTGAGATGCACTGGTGGGGAATGTGAGGAACTAATTCAATACTTCTACAAACATCTTACAAAACATACTGTGATATAAAACGTTAACCTTTGATGGAGGGCATCATTTTAGAGTGGTGAGTGATTTATGTTAGGTCATTTGGCCTCTAGTCTTTGCCTCATAGGCTTTACAAGTCAAGACTTCATGGTGAGATGGATGATAATGTACAACGGCGTAGTGACATTTAAACAGCTGAAATTACTTTCTTTTGCTTGTGAAAGCCTGCATACCTCTACACCATGTCATATATTTAACTTTTTCTCTTATAGGTTATTTTAATTACCTACAAAGGAATCATATGGAGGCTTTCTAGAATTAGCGAAAACATGTTTAGAATAATTACATAATGACAATAATCTAGTTCATTCCCTCTGCACCTATAATTATTGCAGTGTATGGAATTTGTCAAGGCATTTTTCAGGTGAAGCTACTGAGTAAACTATTTAAATAAATTAGTGAATATAATGAAAATATACGTTTTGTGTTTGACAGGTGCAAAGTGACACAAGATGCACCATATGCCATCTTTAAAAGACCTGTTTATTATAACACCTATTTTACAAGCAAATACAAAAAGAGTGATAGCAGCAAGTCAGCTGTTACTGAGGGGAATCAACTGACTCAAGTCCATGAAACTGAGCCATCCAGAAAAAAAACAAGACAAGAGGAAAAATGTGTTTCTAAGGACCCACCCAGAGGAGACACTTTCTTTCACAAGAAAACAAATGTGTGCAGACGGAAAAATAGAAAGCTTCCTACAGTGGCTCCATACCTCCACACCACTTTTAACACAGACATCTCTAAAACAAAGGGACTGAAGACTTGGTCTCTTCATAGTGGAGTGGGTGATCTCACAACTCCTTATCTGAAAGCACCATCCACCACTGCAACCACTACATCATCACAAAGACCAGCCACACTAAAGCTCTCGAAAGCCAAAGCATCAACAACCAAAAGTGTGATAGGGCACATACTGGAGAAAGCGTTTCTGTCCCCAAACAAAGCACCTCTGACCTCAACTGTCAGCGCTGTAACATCTACAAAGGGCTCAGCTACAGCAAAATGGATGTTTACAACAAACCTGCCCAAAAGACAGACAGGCTCGACCATATCTGCTCCTCACTATGACAATATTACAACTAAACCCTTAACTCATTACTCGGAAAGCAAAAAACAAAGTCAAGTGGTTTCTCCTTTTGGGGGACTCAAAGCAAATCAGATAATCAGCTCTGGAAACATGGACCTCAATGAAAATAAATTATTACATGATAAAACAGGTAAGAGTGCACATTTTCCATTAATTCATATATACAGCAAACTGAGTATCTTATATAGGACATATGGGCCCAGTGGAGCTCCACAGACTAAAAAATGACTATGCTAATATGTTATTGAAAGTTCACACTGAAGTTTTATGTATTTTTTAGACTAAAAACAATCATATTATGGATATAATTACCACATTGCTAACCACCTATGTGGTAATTATATCCATCTCTCTCATATCTCTGTTGTGTCTTTTACATTCTTAATATTTTTATTATATAAAAAACTAAAAAGGAATGGGAAATTTAATTCTGTAACATCTGCAGACTTTGAGACCTCCATAGTTTTAGTCTTAATAATCTCCTTTTGTTGGACAAGACATGATCAGACACAGAGACTAGTAAAGATACAGTAAAATGCATTAGTAACTAAAACATATTGTTAAGTATTACATGTTATACCATTTTAATATTGTCAATCGCAGATTTTTGTG